CCCCCCCCCCCCCCCCGCATGAGAGTTGATCACCCCCATACGGCCACATCTTCCCTGTAAACTTCGAGACCGTGAGTTCGGCGTCACCCTCTTCCGCCTTCCTTGGTTTCACTCTTGAAAGGTGAACTAAAGCCACTATTCTTGTATCATCTTTCCGCTAACTGGCTCCCAATTATTTCTACACCGTTCTTCTATGTAGACTTCCATTTATCTAAGCTGTTCTCTTCTTCTTCTTCTTCTTCTTCTTCTTCTTCTTCTATCCCTGCGCCATTCCGCTCAAACCGCCGTCGTTACTCTTTTCTCCTACAGAGAGAGCGTTTCGAATCGATTCCCCAAAGAGGAAACTCCTCGGGTACCTCGGTACGCCGTGATAAAACTGGTCTCAATCCCACCAATGGTTTTGACTCTACGGGTTTAAACGACTCTTCTCGGCGGAGAGCTGGCCTCTCTCTGATCCCGCTGAGCTCCGCCGGCTTCCATATCTTCCGGAACCTCCTTGATCTTAATACATACTCCTCCTCCGTTCAACCTGGTCTTGTTCTCCTTTGAGAGCATGCCTTCGGCCTCGGAGGTTCAACATGACGCTGCTTCTCCTTTCCCTCGTTCCGCCAGCTATAACCATCTGCCTGCACTGGGTTCCAATGTGAGCCAATCTGATGTAAAGAGGACGTTTTCAGAAACGAATCTACCGCAGTTGTCGGAAAATCCAGTTAGACTGGACCAAGATAGCTTTATGACTGGAAAGAAAGTTCTACGCCAGGCCTCTATCCGCCTAAAAAATGACAGATCAAAGGTAAAGGAGTTTGCCAATTCGAGTTCTGACGGAAACGTGCAAGGCCCAACGAAATCGTCAACTCAGAGGGACACTGACAAGACCTTGTCCATGGAACGGGCCTCCAAATCACGCTCAGTGTCAAGCACAATTGCGACCTTAGCTCGCAAGCCGTGGATATCATCAAGGTCTCCGTCCCCTTCAGCCCCCAGGGAAATAAGGCCGAAGATTACAAAGTCCAATGGTGTAGCTTCTGTCAATTCAATTGGAAATGGCACTGTAGAAAAAGATTCACACACCAAACCACAGGGCCCATATGCACAGCTTCCTGAAAAGTCTCAACGAAGTAGCATTCTGGTTAAAGGTAGTCGGAAATCGATCATCTCTGGAGCCAAACCAAAACTTGAGGATCCTTCTAACTCTCAAAAACGCCCTTCCTTTCCCTCACTACGTGCGAGAGTTTCATTAGACCGACTCTCAGCCTCTCCATCCGGATCGAATGACGATATTCCGCCCGTTACCCAGAAGCGTTCTGGGCAATTGCCCCAACTCAAAGTAGATCCGCCTCGGAAAAAGGACGAGCTTTGGTCTGTCTTTAGAGGCCTCGATGCAGACTACCAAAAGTAAGTCAATATGGGCGAACGCGAACTCCAAAAATAATGTCAGCTAACAAGACCAAAGATTTTGTTCAAAAAATAGTTCTCTCAAGGCCAACGTCCTTCGGTCATCCCTACTTCCATTTCTTTCATCCTACGCCAAACATCCATCCACCCAGTTTCTCCGGCCTGAAGACCTTGATAGGCGGATAAATATCTTAAATAAATGGTGGACGGGACTTCTCGAGATTCTCAATGGGAGAAATAGCCAATCTTTGAGTGGAGTGGATAGACCTGTTTTTCTGGAAGCCATTGTTGGAATTATGACAAGACCGGAATGGCGTATTCCAACCTTGCATGATTCGCCGTCACCTTCTACGCCTACTGCACCCCACGTTCCAGCCCCAATTTCCAGGTCCAACACATCCCTTGAATCAACCGGGACGGATTTTCTCATCGAATCAATACACCACAACATCCGGAATATCTTCGCTCAAAATCTCCTATCACAAATCGGCTATTGTATTGATAAATTGTCAATGAGGCAAACCCCAGCTAGTCTTGTAACGTTTGCTGGTAAGACATGCGCTTATGCATTCTTCTTTTGCCCTGGTGTTGCGGACATTCTCGTGCGACTGTGGAACACCACCCCCGATACTCTCCGAAGGGTTTTGATTGGATTCAACGTGGACTGGAGCGCTAAAGCCAACCTTGAAGCTTCTGACTACATCTCATCGTACTTCCCTGTGGCTCTGCGATCTTTATGTTTCAGGTCTCATTCCAGTCTTGTCCGCTGTCTTCGACAGAAAACGCAACCTCCCTTAGGTGCGACCAACGTTAATTGGTCAGGGCCATGGGTTTCACGTTGGTCAGGGAGAGATACCGATCTTTTCTTCGTTTTTGCCAAGCATTTCCACATATTGGTTGCGGGAATTTTACCCCTTGGATGCGAAAGATCGAAATATGTCTTTGTTCCAGGACTTCTTTCGGTTCATGCGCAGATAATGACTGTTTTGGAACATACTGTCAACAAACAGTCAACTGCTTCAGTGGTGGATAATATTCATGCACCAACATCAACGACATTCGAAGATTTCATCGATGGTACGGATGCTTCTGCTTCCGCCATACCCTTGGGAACGGCGAATTCGCTGCGGGTCATGTCCGAAAATCGTCTCATTCTATTGCTAAAGGACATCGTCACAGATCGGTCCCTTGACCTGTCTATAAAGCAAATGTTTGTGGAAAATTTTTGCGCAATCCTGAAGGTCGCGACGAAGAAAATTTCTCTCTTCGATCATAACGGATGCTTTGTGTTGTTCGACTTCGTAGAGGAGCTCGTTTCGGTAATTCCGCCTTATTGTGAATCAACACAGCAACCGGACTTACTAGACTGGAACTTTTGGCTAGATGTCTGCAAGCAAATGATGAAAAGTAATAACTCTCTCACAGAAGTGAGGGTTTTCTCTTTCATTTACGCTGCCTGGGACGAGATAAACCGGGTGGATGAGCTCAGAGAAGCGTTGTGCGTGGGAATACTTTTGAACGAAACCTATTTCTATAGGTACTTCAATCATTGGAGCCCAATGGTTCGCGCGTATTTCCACAGGCTGTTATGCTGGCGGCTGGCTCGATGTGAAGGAAAGCCCTCTGCGCTGGATTTGTGAGTACCAACAATTGAAAATTCCCAAATTAATGGGCCAGTGACTAATATAACTTGCACCCTCCAGGCGTATATACAATCTTCTATTGGACAGGCTTTCTGGAATCTGGAGCTACTTCCTTTTTCGCCAGTCAAAGGCTGAGAGAGAATTGACCCCGCTGTTGTCGACTGCACCTTGTAGTCCAGCACCTGGGCGCCGAATCCTTATCATCAGGAATGACTACCAGCCCGCCTCCTCCTTATTTGTCTGCTTGGACAACATTATCCCACCATCAACTTCTTCCAGTCAGCCATCAGCGTACAAAAGCCACGGATCGCTACCAGACATCGAGCCCAATCATTCCCGTTCCGAGTCTCCCTCATCGTCTAGTAAAAAGCGATGGAGGTCACTAAAAACCATATTCACGAGCTCCTCCAACTTGAAACCAGGGGAGGTAACGCCAACGAAGAGTACCCATGACGAAAGCGAACACAGTACGAGCGACTCAAACCCCAGGGAAGGGCCATTGAAACACGAATCCCGACTATTTCCGTCGAAGAATCAGCCAAAATACACCTTCAGGTTCTCACTGCAGTGGAACGATCGTGTCAGATGGCCATCCAAGGACAGACGCCTGTTCCCACCTGCCCTCCCGCTCCCTACCCAACTTTTCCTCCAGTCACTTCGAACGAATGACACCAAACAAACCGACTCAGCCGATGGCTCCCTCTCTAACTCCCTCTCCGGAACCGACTCCGACGACGGCTCAGACAGCGAAGGCGCCGAGATAAACTCCATCTCAAAAACAACAACCGCAACCACAACAACCACTGCAGCTTCTAGCCTTGCCAACACTTCAAATATCGGCCTCGCCACCCCCCCTGGGGCTCCCGTGCTCACACCCTCTCCCGCTCCAAAACCTAACCTCACCGTTTTCACCGCCTTCGAATCCCACACAGACGCGGGCGGAGGATATCAATACCAATATCACCCGCTCGTAGCGAGTAAATATGCCGGTCGCGCGCTGGCGGAGTGGGCATTGGTTGTTTGCGAGTGTGATAATTTCTTCGCACGACGACGCGATGAGGGTGTTCCGACCGACGATGAGGTGGAGATACCGATTCTGGGCGTCGAGAGTTTCCGGAAATGATATCTATTCATACATATATAACGATGGGCTTCTGTCCCCCCCCCCCCCCCTCTCTCCCCTTTTTTTTTCTCGTTGTCTCTCCTATAGACACTCTCTTAACCCCCCTTGCTACGAAGGGGTATGCCGCCATTGTACAGTACCAGGATCTGGACATAGGTATATATATATACACTTTTCTTTTCTCTGTTACCTGCTTATTTTATATCAGGTTGGTGATAGCATATCGGTGGATTCATCACGAATATGCGGGAAAGCGACGCTTCACTCTTCCTAAATTCGCCGCCTTACCTATTTCTTTCTTATCAAAAGAAACCTCCGTCCTAGTTCTTTTCTTCCTTTCCTTTTTGGTGGGGAGGCATTTCTTTTTTGGGTGCCTCTGTTCTGCACCTGCAGTTTTATTTCCTTTTGTTCCTAGGTAAGGCAAGGCAAGGCACGGTCGTGGCGTGGCATGGCGTGCGTGGCGTCTTTAAATTTTTGTGTGCTTGCTTCGTTTCCCTTTTGAAATCATTAACTTCTTTCCTTTTTTTGGTCGTTCTCCCAAGGATGGCGGTTCAACAGGTTGGTTGGGTGGTTTGTTGGAGCTTGTATGCATGCATTGATTAGAATTGTTTTTGCTCTTATTGCTTCGATTACGATTCGTTTCGTTTCCATTATCATCCACCCATTAATTATCGTTCCTGATCATCATGTACGTGCGTTTAGTTCGTGTGTTTGTGTGTTTGTGTGTGGGGGTTGTGTGTATGTGTGTTCGATTTTCATAATAAATGCGTTGCATCACATTTTTTGGAATTCAATTGCGACTCGCTTCAAATCTAGTTCTCTTTTTTGAAATCAGTTTTGTTTTTATCTCTTCCTACCCCTCCCTCCCTCCCTCCCGTGGGTTTCTACGTCACGGACATACATACATAACCCTCCCACATTTGTCCTCTCCCCTCTCCCTCTCTCTCTTCCCCAGCTGAGAATAACAATCGCGGAACTGACCTTTCTTTCTTTCGTCTCGTTTCTATTCATTTTACTCAGATATATTAGATATATCTGCATCGGTACATATGTGTGTGTACATACATGTACATAAGTTCTCCGGGCTACTCTCACCCGGATGGAAATAGCTATCTCGTCCGGTTTTTACCAGGATAGTTAACTATAATATATAGTAGGTTAACTAGTTTACTATTTACTACTAGCTAACTTAAACCTTCCAAACATCAAAACCCAAAATCCAAAACACGGCCAGTTTAAAGCTATTCAACCACGATGAAACGATTTCATACAGCACATTTCTTATGAAAGGACCGGAGCTGTGCATCGCTTAAGAGTTACGGTGGGAATGGAGGGAAAAAGGAAAAGGGGCGAGAGAGAGACAAGAGAGACAGAGGACACGGATGCCTAAAGTTCACTATACAACTGCTTCGACTTAACTACCTATCGTAAATCCAAACGGAGATATATATATATAGGCTTTCTGACAGCGTAAAATGGTGATGGTGGGAGGAAAGGAGTTTATTTTACTATCTTCAAAAAGAAATTGGTGGCTAAGGTAACTTGTTTCCAACCAAGTTTTGCCCCCATTTTAATATATTTTATTTTATCCAAGTGGTGGGCTATTTTTAACATATTAACGTGTTGTAAGTTAAGGGAAGCAGGAGGGAAGTAAGGGAGAGAGGAAGACTGGAAACTAGAAGCGGGCCAAGAAAGATAAATAAATGGTTTGGATGTAAGAGAAAAAACGTAAGTTAATGAATACAATTAATTATTGAGCAAAAAGTAAATTGTGTGCAAAATGACATGGTTTCTAGAGAATCAGGAGATTTCCCAACATTTATTTCCAGTTATTTTTCCTTGCTTTAGAAGAGAAGTGTTATGTGCATTCGAGTCAGCTGTCAATAAGCGAGGAGACAAGACAAGTTGGGGGAGAAAAGGGGGTGGAGAAAATAACGAGAAAAGGGAAAATGATCTGTTCATAAATGAAAACACTCATCCCATCTCCCAATCCACACCAATCCAACCAACCCACCTACCTTTACTACGAACTAGTACCAGCAGAGTCTGAAGTTCCCGAAGCACTTTTCTCTAGCGGTTCAGTCGGTGCGGAAGTTTGCTCAACAACATCTGCATCATCTAGTGCCGGCGAACCGGACTTTTCCTGACCAGGCTCAGCCACAAGGGGGGTCTCATCGCCAGGTTCTACCTCAGCTTCGACCAGTGGTTCTTGTTGCGGTGGTTCTGCCTCTAAACCATTACCGTCACCGTCACCATCACCATCACCATCACCATCACCATCACCATCATCGTGGCTTGACGCGGATGGGGTGGGTTCTGGATTTCGTGATGGTGACGACGAGCTCGTCGCTGTCGAGTCGCGGGCAACGGGAGCAGGTTCATCGGATTCTTTCGTCGGCGCGGGTTTCGATGTCGTCTCGGGGGAAGAGCCCGCATCTGTATCTGTGTTCGTATCGGGAGCTTGGGGTACAGTGGGAGTGGCAGTAGTGGCAGTAGTAGAAGAGGGGGAACCCGCCTGTTCCGAAAGCGCGCTGGGTTGTGACTTGGGAATTGTGGTAGTAGGTAAATCTGGTGGTGATGCAGATCTAGCCTTGGCGGGGGAGGTGTCGCCTACAACGAGAACCCCATCTCCCCCGATCCGCCATACATTCCATGCATTCACGACTTTGATCTTGGGGGGAGCTGGAGCTGGCTTTCTGACGGGTTCTGCAGGGGTTACTGCAACTGGAACAGCGGGTTTTCTTCTCGCTGGACCCCTCGCTCGACCCTTTCTAGCATCGCTCAAAGGCACCTTTTCAACAGTTTCTTCGGGTTCGGGCTTCTTTTCTTGAGGTTTAGGGCCTTGCGGTCCCAACTTCAGATGACCCTCCAATTGTGAAAGAAATCCGGCCTTCAGAGCAGCGATTTTGGACCCACCAGGTCGAGTGGGAATAGGAGGTTTTGTCTTTACGAATGGCGGTGCTGCCGGAGCATCAGGAGAGCCAGCAGATACGGTTGTTGTTATGCTCTCGTCAGAATTGTGTGATGACGGTTTTGCTGGTCGTGCAGGGGGCTTAGGTTTTGGACGGCTAGGGATTGTAGGCGGTTTTCTAGACTCAGCTGGGCTTGGGGCTTTTCCCTCTACGGGGCTTATCGATTTTGAAGGTCGCGCAGGAATGGTGGGTGCAGGTTTCGTTGGGCTTTCAGGAGAAGTCGACTTCTCTCCCTCCTGAGGCGTCTGAACAGTAGTTACAAGCCGCTGACTGTCAGGAACATCCTCCCAAACATCTTTACTCGGGAACCGCTGTCTGGATTCCGCCCTAGGCGGCTTTTCATCCTCAAGATGACTCTGAAGCTCCTTTAACGGGGAACTGGGCTTTGAAGACGTTGTTCGCTTGTTCTGCAAAGCTTCCTCCTCTGAAGGCTCTAACGGGGACTTCTCGTTATCGCTAGACTTACTTGGGACATCGGGCGTTGTGACTGTAGCCTCCAGTTGTAAACTGTCCGGAGCATCTTCCCAAATATCCTTGCTAGGAAATCGATGTTGCTCAGAACGACGTTTAAATCGCTCTGCAGGTGTAACTATTTTCGTCTCTTCGTCATCGTCTGGGAACAGTGGTTCGTACTCTTTAACGTCTTCGAGTTCCGTATGGATTTCCTCACGTTCCCCGCTGCGTGAACCAAGCCTCGTCATGTTTGGAACAGTACCTTGAGTACTGGAGGTCTGGCTACTTGCGCGATTTTCTGTACGGCTATTTGATCGACTGTGGGCGTTCACACCGGGAGAGCCGAGCTCGAAAGCGGGCGAGATCGCAGGTTGTAAATGCTCTGCACGTGGTTCAATTTCATCCGCTGCGAGGACGGGTGCTTCATTTGGGTTTTCATCAGCCCAACCAGGCTCCTCCAATGGCTGGGCGCCATGTGGTTTGTGATCCTCTGGTGCGGGGGCAAAGCCATCGGGGTGGTGTTGGCTATGAAGCGGCTCATCAATATGGATTACCTCCTCCTTCTCATGAGTGTCTGTTTCCGAAACACTATGTTCAGTATCTGCTGCGCCAGCAACAACAGATTCCTTTATGGGGGCTTCTACTAGGCCCTGCGACTGGAGATACTCACCTTTAGACAAGCGAGACTCAGGAGCTGCAGATGCAAGCCGAGAAGCAAGTTCGTCAGTCGCAACGTATGCCAGCTCTTCTTGCGGTGTGCCTACAACGTTCGCATGAGTTGCTGTAAAGAATTAGAATCATTCCCAGCAGAAAAAGTGCGTATAGTTCTTGTAATTTAAGCATGATCTCACCCAAACCAACCCCTGTACTTGCAGATCTCCTCACGATTTTATTTAAATCATCGCTGCTTAAGGCGCATTCCGGTCGCTCATGGCCCAGGCCCGGTCCATACTGGGACTGCTCCTCGCGTGCCAGTTCATCAGGGTGCTTGTCAAACCACGCCTTCTCAAACCTGTCGCTTGGTTGTACTCCGTGGCCGCGAAGCCCATAACTACCCGGTGGAAGGGAAGCTTCCCGACCACTTTTAGTACGCTGATGGTTGCGCCCATGCCGCTGTTGTCCACCTTCATTGCCAAGTTCACCAAATTGAGATGGCGACGGCGCTTGCACGTCGCCTGCATTAGGATCCATAGGCACGCGCTGGCCAATTTCAGGAATGCCTCCTTCCTCTCCATACTGTATGGATGTCCGACGATTTGTTGAAGAAGTAGAAGAACCCTGCCGAGACCCGTCGGTTTCCATATGGCTGGGCCTCGAGCGCTCCGCACCACCGTAGTCAGGAGAGGATACAACATTCCCAATGCCTGCAGCGGCAGCCTGTTGCGAATCTGTTCGGGTAACGGCCCGCACCTGCGCTTCAGCGCTGGAACTTGGTAACGATGGCTTTGGAGCGTGAAGATGTAGGTCGCGATTCACATTCCGTGTTTCCATAGGAGGGTCGTGACTTTTCTCCCTGTTATCCGCGCTTGAATTCTGGTATTCTAGACCTTCATACTCCATCCCTTCCTGGCCAACCGAGGGTAGGGTAACACTAGGCGGGCGAGCGGGAGTATTAGAGGCATCGTTTGAGTGTCGGCGTCTCGTACCCGACCCAGCTGGCAACTCGTTTAATGGTGACGGGGCGTAGCTATCGCAATTGGGAGAGGCAGAGCGGTCAATGCGGCGATTGTTCGGGCGAGCAGGCACTTTTGGCATCTCGGGGTTTGGAGGTGATCGAGGATTGGGAGCCCGCGACGGCCGGGGGGGAACTACAGGAAATGGCTTCGTAGACATCGCTTCGGTTGGGAATTGTGAACAGTCAAATGGAATGGAAAGGAACGGAACTGCTGATTGTGATTAGGTTTTAATTAGTTTCTCTGCTGTGTTTGGGCGAACAGTCAAGGCACCATAGCAAATCCGGATCTCCTCGATAGGGGAAACAAAACAAATGAGGAACTCGATGTTTTCTCTACCCCAAACTGAAGCTTTTCTCTTTTAGTATTTATTTGATTTGCCTAATTCCTTTAAAAAAAAAGTTTTTCTCCCGCTGATTCCGTTCTTCTTCCCGCGACGCCATTTTCAGTTTATTTCCTTGTCTCGTTGTCTTTAGGGTAGCTGATACGAGGATCTCTGTTTCCTAGCAAACGGTGCTGTGTACGCATTGCTTACCTTTATTAGTCTATTGGCTGGATTCCTTTCTTTATCAGCATAAGTATAAGCTAAGCAAGGGATTGGCCTCCTAGAGGAACAAGTATCTAGGAGTCGGATAGTAGAGAGAGCTTAAACGGTCGAGGTGCAAGAGAATGAGCAACGAATCAGATCCAAACGTCCCAGAACAGGAATATTGGTTTCACAAAATGAGATATATTTCCCTCTTCTTGATAGTTGGAAGGCATGTAGAAATTTAAAAAGGGAAAATCGGGATTGAGACTCTGTTTAGGAGTTGTTCAGGAGAATGAAAGATGAGGATGACGATTGCAGGAGGTTTGAGCGTTGTCTTAGCTTAAGCGTTTGTTTCTGCCACAGCCAAGTTATTAATATACCCACCTCCAATATGACGTGCCTGGTCACGCTGTACCGGGAGGCTTCGGCTTGCATGTGGCCATCCACCATTGGCTGTAATTTAAAGCTGTAACGTGGTATTATTGGTATGTTGGGTCGTGTGCCGATCTGCGATTTGTCGTCGTGTTTGCAGTGGTTATCTTGATGGTAAACGTTGACGGTTGCGGCTCCCTTGGCTTGGTATAGTATAGTTCTAGTAGCGGCTGGGCGAGGGCCTGATTGATTAATGGCTTTGAAATTATTCCATTCTGCCCAGCACACATTGCATTGAGCACGCCAGCAGATAGGAAGATTATCTCCAAGAGCTATCTACAGGAGCGTCGTGGTCGCGGTAGTTATACGAGTTGAAACACAAAAAGCTCACGCGGTTCCATGGTGGTCACTTGAAACCCTTCGTATGAACACTAACAAACCCTCCATGAAGCCACAGAGGTTATCTCGTAGGTACTTCTTGTCAGAATAACCTCCACGCTATTTTGAATTGTGAAACGGAGGCTGTTACAAAAAATATTGATTCCCCGCAAAGGGCATAGATTCAAGAGGGGCGAAAGATAGCGACAGAAACATATACGCAGTATGTTATCAGCAAAATTATGTATATAAATATATATTTCTCCCAAGAAGATATATTATTACATTAGATGAAACAGATGATAGTACCAGCGATATCAGAATATGAGATTGATTATCAGGGAAAGACAAGAAATTCATATAGTATTATTTTCCATTTCGCATCAGATAGAGAGTGAATGTGAATGGACGGTTTTATCGTTGGTTTGCTTTTCATTTTCAAACTCACGACGAAGGGGTTCAATCATTAATTGAGGGATGGCGGGATAATGGTAGAGGAAGTATTTCGCATCTACGGCTTTGAATAGCCATCTCATTGATAGCGGTATTAACTGGGCCAAGTTTTGCCCTCAAATGTGAAAAATGCATGGGGTGTATTATTAAACTACTACTTCAAAAGAATATAGAGGCTGAAGAGGAGAGAAGAAGTTTAAAGAATCTTTAAAAACGGTCATTAATATTTTGGAATTTTTGGATTTCGTACTCGTAAAAAAAAAAGGAAAAGGGGGTTGGGGGGTAGGTGTGAGAAAAAAGCCCATCTAATAGAAAGAGAAAATAAATCGTGAAGCCATTTTTCCTTTTAACTAGAGAGGACATGAAAAATAAAACAAAAATGCCACGGGAGACCAGGGTAAGAAGAAATGTGAAGGAAGGGAGCATAAGAAGAACGAAAAGCAACTCCTAAATAACGATAAGGTATAAAAAGACCTATGTCAAGTGGTCACATTTCGCCCGCTCTTCCGCACGTAAAGGTGAGAGGGAGAAAAGAGAAGGGAAAATAATACCTCCTTTATCCCCATCGCCTGGACGGTCATCCCCTCTTTCTTTATTCATTCTAGCATTTTTGTTTAAGGGCGGGTTGGGGGGGTGTGTTAGGGGCTAGCCAGTTTATTTCTTGGTAGCCTTCTGGGCGGCCTTGGTGACCTTGCCAGCAGTCTTGTCGGACTTGACGACGGACTTGATGACACCGACAGCGACCTGTATTGGTTTGGGAAATTAGTCAACGGTTCGAAAATGTATATAAATGGTTAGAATGAATATGGATGTAAAAACTTACGGTTTGTCTCATGTCACGGACAGCGAAACGTCCAAGAGGAGGGTACTCAGTGAAGGCCTCCACGCACATGGGCTTGGACGGAATCATCTTGACGATAGCAGCATCACCGGACTTGATGAACTTGGGGTTGTCCTCAACAGACTTTCCGGTACGGCGGTCAATCTTCTCGATGAGCTCAGAGAACTTGCAAGCAATGTGGGCAGTGTGGCAGTCGAGGACTGGGGCATAACCAGCGCCAACCTGGCCGGGGTGGTTGAGGACGATGACCTGGGCGTTGAAGGACTCGCAGCCCTTGGGGGGGTCGTTCTTGGAGTCACCGGCAACGTTGCCACGGCGGACTTCCTTGACGGAAACGTTCTTGACGTTGAAGCCGACGTTGTCACCAGGGTAACCAGCCTGGAGCTGCTGGTGGTGCATTTCAACGGACTTGACTTCAGTGGTGACGTTGGCAGGGGCGAAGGTCACGACCATACCAGGCTTGATGACACCAGTCTCGACACGTCCAACGGGAACAGTGCCAATACCGGAGATCTTGTACACATCCTGGAGGGGAAGACGGAGAGGCTTCTCGGTAGGACGGACGGGGGGGTCGATGGCGTCAATGGCATCGAGAAGAGTCTTACCGGCGGCCTTGCCAGCAGCAGTCTCCTTGTTCCAGCCCTTGTACCAAGGGCAGTTGGGGGAAGGCTCAATCATGTTGTCACCCTCGAAACCGGAGATTGGCACGAAGGGAACAGACTTGGGGTTGTATCCGACCTTCTTGATGAAGTTGCTGACTTCCTTGATAATTTCGTTGAAACGGGTCTCAGACCACTTGGTGGTGTCCATCTTGTTGATGGCAACGATGAGCTGTCTGACACCGAGGGTGAAAGCGAGCAGAGCGTGCTCACGAGTCTGGCCATCCTTGGAGATACCAGCCTCGAACTCACCAGTACCGGCAGCAATGATGAGGATAGCGCAGTCAGCCTGGGAAGTACCAGTAATCATGTTCTTGACGAAGTCACGATGACCGGGGGCGTCTAGAAAGGGACATGTTAGATAATAGATACTTGAAGCCGAAATCTGACTAGAGGGGGTACCAATCGAAACTCACCAATGACAGTAACATTGTACTTGGGGGTTTCGAATCTCCAGAGGGAAATATCGATGGTGATACCACGCTCACGCTCGGACTTCAGTTTGTCGAGGACCCACGCATACTTGAAGGATTTCTTGCCCAACTCTTCGGCTTCCTATACGTAGACAGTTAGAACATACTCGATGGATAGGGTAAAAGCTCGCTTTGTGCAGAAAAGATGTTGAAATCAGGGTAAACAATCTTTCGAAACATTTCCCCTAAAACAAAACAAAAAGTGACAACCATATAAGAATATAAGGGTTGTGGTTGGTTAGGCCGACAATGTATGCCGAGCGGAGGGGCCAAAAAAAAAGCAACGTTATCTTGAGTTGAGAGAGCGGTGGCTGAACAGAGCGACCAGCACACTTTTGGCTGCAAGGCCAACATGTCACAGAAAACTAAAATTACCCCACCATGAAAAACAAATTGGCGAATCACAACACAACTAGCGAAAACCCAAAACAGAGGGGTAAAAGAACACAAAAAATATGACAAAAAACAATAAATAAATAAATAAATAAATAAAATAAATCATATCAGAGGCAACAAAATTGATTTCGCCGATTTTTTTGCTTACCTTCTCGAACTTCTCAATGGTACGGTTGTCAATACCACCGCACTTGTAGATCAAATGACCTATAGAGAAAACAACAGTGAGAAGAACGTGTGATAAAGCTAGAGTGTATTGTGTTAGGCGGGGTTGCTTACCGGTGGTGGTGGATTTGCCGGAATCGACGTGGCCGATAACGACGAGGTTAATGTGAGGCTTCTCTTCCTTACTGTGTGGTAGAAAAAAACACCAGAGTTAGTCAAGCGAAGGAAATCGGGATGGATCGGACAGATGGAATAGATAGACGCTTACCCCATTTTGACTGGATGTGAATGTGAAAAGTGGGAGAGTTTGGGATAAAATAGATTGGATTTCTTGTAGTTCTTTGGAAGATACTAGAAGAGACCAGGAGAACGCTCAGATACTACGGCCAAGAATGCGTAGAGGTGCTGGCAGAGGTTAGTTAGAAGAGATGGAACAGTTGATAGAGAGATGTGATGATGAGGCGGAGCGAAGAGATGGGGAGCAGTGAGGGATGAGAGAATACGTACTGAAGCAGACGGGGGGAGGAAAAGGGAAAGGAAAAGAATTTTTGTGCGAGGAGAGGGGTTTTTGTATGCTTTCTGGGCGGGGGGGGAAAAGTGCAGGAGGCGAGGCCACTAGTCCGCTTTGGGCAATCACGTGCCGCTTATCACCGTGCTTTTGGAGGGGCTCAGGGCTGCCTGGTGGGTAGTGGTGGGGAACCTAGCGGTTGGTTGGGCGGGCAGCCGAAGGAAAAAAAAAAAAAAAAAAAGAGAAAATTTTTGTTCGCTGCTACGTACTACTACCATCGCAAGAAGACCCCCCTTGCTGGGTTAATTACCGCCTTTTCGTAGAGTCCCTTCACGATAAGGTGTGGGCGTTGGTCTTGGAGAGCGGACACTTGGTCTGATTAAAAAGTGGGCTTTATTGGTTGGCCTCTCTATCAAACCAATACGAAGAAAAAAAATTACTTTCACTCCTACAGGAGACGGAGGCGTTCAGAAGAATTGTAGAGCAATTTTCCAAACCCACCATCAGAGAGTTGAAATCCCGTAGGTGATCAGTAAACAGGCTTCCTGGCCTCTTCGTCATGTACTCTGTTCAATATTCCAAGCTACAGTACTAAAGTTTTTTTATGCGGGACAAATCTTGCATATCTTGAATTCTTGATGTAGTGGGTATCTATGTAGCAGCAGCACATGCAAACAAAGCTAAAAACAAAATGAATGAAAGGAAAAGGAAGTAAATGTAAGGTAAACCAGCTTAGATGCCTCGTCCTGCTAGATGAATTTCTCCAATCTGTCGCTTTGCAGATATTCAAACCACCTCTCCGAAAAACTCCCTCTTCCTAAATAAGAGTACACTTTGATTCAAACGAGCGGACACAGCTGCCTTGGAGTCGCAACAGCGACAAAACCAGGCGAAACCATCACACTAATACAAGGAATCGGGATGACTCATAAATAGAGGCAGAGGGGTTGATGAGCTGTCCTGGCCTAGTTTTCTCTCCATCGGGCCCCGCAGGTCGTGCACTGCCATTTGTTGTCAGCTCAGCATTGGCCTTCAATTTTTTTTTTTTTTTTTTTTTTTTTTTTTTTTTTTTTTTTTTTTCTTTTTTCGTTTTTTACAAAGATCTAAATCCTGGGTGTGGGGAAGAGAGGGAGCAGAGTGTCATATGTTTGGTTTTCTTTTAAGACTTATATCGTACCTTGAAGAATGTAGTCATTGGCTCGTCCGCGCTTCGAATCTGCAACTGGTAAAAATATGCACGGTCGCCATCACAGCCTTCGGCGGGGCATTGCGCTGCAAGTCACACAACGGACAGACGGAACAATAGTCAGAACTCGTGGCAAAATATATAGAGACGAAATGCACGTCTGTAGGCCTAAACAGCCAAAAGGAAAATCACTCCAATCGTGGGGCAGGGAGGGGTGGTAAAAGGGAACAATCCGAATTATTTCCACGTCAAGCAAATGTAAGGGGAGGTGGTGACTCACTCCCTTGGCTATCAGCATTCTTCCACTCGTCTTTCCCTCCTAGCACATCTGCAACTTCCTTCCGCTTCATCTCTGTCCGCTCGTAGTACGTTCGGTCGAGGACATACTGGTAGGGGCAGGTTCGGCATTCAAATCGGTTGACACCTAGCGGGTAGCGAGGGGTGGGATCCGCCCGGGAGATGGTAAGAGCATTGCTACAGTTTGGGCAAACTAGAAACACATTGTGAATTAGCTCATTGTCTATTCAGCGGGGGATTTTATGCAGGTCATATCGTATTTGGATCAAGGTTGAGAGACTCACACGTCAAAGGCATTTTGCCTGCTGAATTCTCAGTGATTGGGAGGAGCAAATCAATGACTATCTAGATGTATATGTTATAGATAGTGATATCATTATCACACGGAAGAATTTCCGAAAAGGGGTATGTCGTGCGAACTCATTGCATCCCGTCGTAGCCTTCCAGGACTACCTCCTAGGTCCCATGAGCTAGGTGGAGGTCGGGAGCTAAGATGTACAAGGTTAGCTTTCTGATTGGTCAATCTGCCGGAAAAATTATTCCCGCGCGGCTAATTTTGCCTTATCAATAACTAACTTAACTTAATTAAGCGCAGTTCTTTTTTGAGATTGCGGCAAAACAAACAAGGGCCCCCGGAATATCTTTGTTCCTGCATTTATTGGTTGCAGAGGGGCTGATATGTTGGAGCTACTACACAAGCCCTAACCCACGTGACCCACACACATATATTTAGCTTCCACTAGCTACTAGTTAGATAACAACAACCAACCACGTTCAACCTCTCTCACAGGTTATGAAGCCCTTGCACTTCTACAAAGCATTATAACCATGCAATAATCATACAATAAGCTTTTCAAATAGCTGCTTTTTTTCATTCAAATACTCCATACCAAATGCCTGTCAATATGAGATCGATCAACCGCGAAGAGATCCCAGAGAATCAGATAGCTGGATCCTTTCCAACATCAATAACCGCGCGAAGACAACAAGAATAATCAAGCCCAAGATAATCCTCCAGAACGCGAAGATATGACAGACTGCAATGAAGCCGCCATTCTGAGACAGCATATTGCTCAGTTGAATGACAAGAACATCAAAAAATCCTGATAATGATGCCCAATAACAATGCCAATAACAATACCAATATCAAAAATACTGTGGATCCAAAACCATAACCATAATCAAAACCATAACCCCGTGGTATCAACGATATCATGGATATAACCATAACCCATGGTGTCAACAATGTCACGGACATAACTATAACCATAACCATAACTGCCAATATCGACGCCAAAACGATGGAGATACCGATAACCATGATAACTCACGATAACCAGGCCACCGAGTGTGCCTATATGATAACCATGATAACCCACGATAACCAGGCCACCGAGTGTGCCTATATGATAACCATGATAACCCACGATAACCAGGCCACCGAGTGTGCCTATATGATAACCATGATAACCCACGATAACCAGGCCACCGAGTGCCTATATGATAACCATGATAACTCACGATAACCAGGCCACCGAGTGTGCCTATATGATAATCATGATAACCCACGATAACCAGGCCACCGAGTGTGCCTATATGATAACCATGATAACCCACGATAACCAGGCCACCGAGTGTGCCTATATGATAACCACGATAACCCATGATAACCGGGCCACCGATTGCCCATATGATGACCTATGCCGATGACCTATGCCGATGACCTATGCCTATGCCTATGATGATGAAAACCACAAAAATAATAAGAATGAGATCCCGCGGTGTTAGAACAACTGAGGGTAATACCAATACTGAAAGAATGGATTTGAGTGTTCTTCTTGCATGTTTTTTATGTTTTTCATGTATGGAGCTAGTCCTTATGAGGAAACTAGACTCTACTTTTTGTAATTAATTTTTATTGCAGATTTGAATGATTTGGGCGCTTTTGACTGCGTGGATTAACTGGCCTGCGTAGCATGGGGGGGTGTTGGAGCTACTACACAAGCCCTAACCCACGTGACCCACACACATATATTTAGCTTCCACTAGCTACTAGTTAGATAACAACAACCAACCACGTTCAACCTCTCTCACATGATACACATTTAACGATTTCATAACAAGAGTAAGGACGGCGACGCTCTATACCAAGACTCTCCTTAGCTGATTGGGGTGTACCTGACAGGTCAGGATAACGCTTCTTTTGGTTAACTGTGCAGAAACATCATATTTTAGCTCTGGTAGGTTCCCTTCCCCGCTTTGGTTGTTGCGCTACATCCGCCCCTTCATAACTTTAAGGCTTTCAACTTCAGCACTTGTTTGTCGAGTATTCCCTAATTTGTTTATTAACCCGTGCTAACTTCACATGGATTTGATCCATTTTCTTTTCTATTCATAGGTCCCTCGAAGTTTGACTGAAAATCGAGAGCGTAAACCATACCCCGCACCCTGCCTCAAAATACGTTCCAGGCAAACCGCCAACAACAAACACAACACAATGCCCTCGGCAAATAATAAGATAGTAACGGACGACGAGGTACGTCGACTTTAGTCACTTTCTGAATCCTTTACGAATGTCGTTAAACGCTAGCTTTCTCACAAAACTCTGGAATTTTAGGGAGCTAGCCCCGCCGAGAGAGTTTCCGCCGCCTGCCGCGAAGATAACACGGATGCCCTAGAAGAGGTCCTTATAGAGATGGAAAACGCAAAGAAAACGAGTGGGGAAATTGCTGCTTTCTTTAATAGCGTTACGGACCCTTTGGGAAATTATGCGCTTCATATATGTGCTATGCATGGCAGCTGTGAGTAGCATGGCGTCCCTTTTTGCCATCCCAGTTAACTCTATACCCGGCTCTCCATCACCTCACATTTAGTGATTCCAGTACCCCCCAAAACAACGAAATTATTTCCAAGTGAAAGAACTAGGAAATAGCAATATCATCTAACAATATACTTCCGTACGCACACACCACAGACCACGCAGCCGACTTCCTCTTCGACATAGAATTCTTCGAATGCGACCCAAAAACCCGACTCGACAAAGAAACACCCCTCCACCTCGTCGCGCGCTACGCAAACGATACAAGCCGCTACAACTCCGTCCGAGACGCCATCACGATGATAAAAATGATGTGCGAAGCGGGCTGTGACCCGCGAGTCACGAATAAACACGGCGAGACCCCCTCACGATTACCAGATATGATACCGGAAGACGTGCGCAAGGAATTGAGGCAGGCGGAATATCTCTTGAATGAAGGGCTGGCATTACAGAATGATGCTAATAGTGACGATGATGATGCTGGGGACCAGAATAGTGCGAGTGATTCTGAGTGAGGATGAGAAAAGGGCAGCCCAAGGGTGGCTGCGTGGGTTTGAGAGCATGACCCTCTACGAATCTTCTTCTTGTTCTTTTTCTTTCTTTCTTTCTTTCTTTCTTTCTTTCTTTCTTTCTTTTTTTCGGTTCCAACTTCCGCTATCTTAGAATCAATCCAGCGTTTTCAATTCACGTGCGCGCACATCAGCGAAAACAAAAGAGAAAGCGGAGGAGAAAGTAATGACGAAAAAGTGGAAAGCTGCCCCTTACCTAGCGTTCGATGCATGTTTTGCAGGCGTCTCCTCGTCTATTATCTCCCTCTTATGTATTTCGCTTTGGCCTGAACGAATCCTCTTTCCTTGTTGCCCCATCTGCTCCCTTTATTTACCCTCGAGTTATTGTGGCTCATGTTTTATATGCAGCGCTTCTATCTGTACATGTACCCGCTTCTCTCCCTCTTTTCGTCTCAATTTGCACATACTGCCCATGCCCGAAATGACCGGTCAGATATATATAGATATATACCCACCTGTATCAGGAATAGGAATAGAGAAAGCTCGCAAGGTGTGGATACAAATCAACTTTTCTTCCTTTGTATGTTATTTTTTACTTATATGGGGTCTCTTACCATTGTTGTTTAAGGTTAGCGGGAGTATATATATGTATCTCGTTCCTCAGCGGAAAAATGTCAATTTCCTAACCAGTCGTGGCTGCCGTTCTTCCTTTCTTCATCTTGTTTTCATTTCCTTTATTCGAAGGGCAATATGGAGGGAATAGGTTGGAGAGATATACAACAAATAAATAGAATTATTTTCACCATTAAAAACAGATACCATATACACGTCATATGTAAAACGGCAAGTGCTAAAAGGTATTCGCATCGAAATCAAAAGCTCCCCTAGACCAAGGTGTATGGAGGAGGCTGGGAAGTGCAAAAGTCATTACTTACTAAAAACATAGTAGAGAAGAGGGAAACGAAAAAAGGAGAGAAAAAGGAGCATATAGCAGAAACCGACAAGTTACCAAGCCTCACTCCTCCCCATCGCCATCGCCATCGCCATCGCCATCACCCTCCTCCCTCCCAAAATGCAACGGTTCTGTTATCCCCAAACTCCTCTTCAACCTCTTCTCAAACGCCTCTACCTCCTCTTGCCTCTTAGCAGGCACACCCTCACCCTCACCCCCATTCACATTTGAACCCCCTCTCTCGCCGAACCCATAAACCTCCCTTGCCAACCCCGACACGCCCACAACCCCCACCTCAACCTTCCCCCTAGGCCCCACAAGATACTCCACAATCTCCTCCCCGCCATCCATTTCCCGGTTACGCACGATATAGCCTTCTTTACATAGGCGTGCGAGTAACCTGTCCGTGCGGTCGATGGGTGTGAAGTTATCAGCGTTGACGCGGCGGAGGAGGCGGTCGAGTTTCTGTTCGCGGATGGAGCCGCCAGAGAGGAGGATGGTGGATATTATGAAGGTGTAGATGGCGGTGTAAGTGCTTTCGGTTGTGGAGGAGGGTGCACGTGAGGGTGGGAGGATGGTTGGGGTGCGATAGGCAGGGGGAAGGGTGGTTACGACCGTCCAGGTTTTGGAGGTTGTGGCAGGTCGTTCGGTGCGTTGGGCGGCTGGTATCGAAGGCAGTGGTTAGTTATATTATTGTGCATATATTTCTCCTACATATACAGACGAAGAAATGGTATCAATCTGTAAAGAAATTAAACAGGTCATGGAAGGAAAAATGTATATATATATATATATAAACACACACCTCTCCTCTGACTTATCGTCACCTTCTCCCTCAATGGCTGCTCTACCATCTGCATGCCGAATCTCTCTATCAACTCCGTCTGCGCCTTTTCAAAAACCATCCTAAACTGCCTCGCTCCTTGCTCACCCAGGACTTTATCCCTGATATCAGTCCGCCGGATCACCTGCCGCGAATACTCGCTTGCAAGCGCGAGCCGCACCAGCTTCTTGACCATCACGTCAGTGGCTCTGTGGAATTGGGTAAACATCTCCGGCGTTGACCGGCCATCTGAAGAGGCATCCGAATCGGAATCAGAGGTCTGGCGCCGCTGTCGTTTTTGTTGTTGTCTGGATCGTTGGGAGGGAGCTTGCTGGGGTTCGGATGAGGCGTCTGAGTTCATCTCCGCTTCATCTTCATCATCGGGCTGTTCCAAAAAAGGGAATGAGATAGATGAGTTAGCCAGGACGTCCAGTAAACTTGTTTGAAGGTCCGATTTCCTTGGACATGGATGGGAACCTACAGCGCGACGGCGGTTGCGCACGACAGGCATCTTTTTCACACGAAGCGGGTTCTTTAGATGGTGGTTTTTTTAGACACTATGCAGCTAGCCTCGTTATTATTAGAATAAAATAGTGGTAGTTCAATTAATTTGAGTATAGAAGCATATTGATTTCAAGCGGTTTTTATTAGGGTCATGAATATCAACTTGATATGCAACACGCGCGGGCACGATGACATATGGCGTGTACTGCGTAAATATGCTAATTATTGGTGTGCATTTGACCTATTTGGGTCGTTGCTTCCTTTTTTGCAACAACGAGAAGCCAGCATCATTGGTCTAGTGGTAGAATCCATCGTTGCCATCTCACCTGACCTCGCTCAGGTCCCGTGACTCGATGGGGCCCGTGTTCGATTCACGGATGATGCATTGAAATATAATATCTTCTTTTTGTATCCTATTTTTTGCCGTATCTTTCTTTCTATGCCCCTCACAGAGTTTGGTTGAATATGTTTTTTGACACGAATGGTGGTATTGTTGGTTGTTTCGTGTGCACTTCGTTACTCTCAGATCAGGGCATCACATCTGTTTACGTGCATGCACTCCCACTTGCCCATCCAGGTCGCTACAGGGCCATGCCATTGTACCAGGTATAGTTATATTTTATTACACAAGAACGATATAACTAATCAATCTTCTACGGACTTCAATTCTGCCTATCTCAGTAAGCCCCTGAGTGCTTCACTCTGCACGAGTTCGATCCGATCGTCGTTCATAACATGTGTCAATCGATTGAACCAGCCAGGTTAATACAGTTAGGACACCGGCTCGATAATTATTAATAATACAGGTAGGATAGCTCTCAAATCCTCGTTTCGGGAAACTTCAAAATGCCACCCTAGCGTTCGGACCCGCCCGCTGGCCAAAACACAGTTTCCCCAGATTCAAGCGGGTAGAATAAGAGACTACTCAGGCCGCGCCAACGGTGCGACGTTTCATATTTTGCGGGGTAGCTCTTTTAGTTCTCCGTCGAAGCTTGGGGGAGGAAGAATGTGCTGGACAGAATCCGAAAAGTCATGATGTCGCCGGCACTCGCCGTCCCAATCAAACAGTGTCGTCGCGAATTCAGTTTCAGCGCCTGACTAGCTTGCGCTGTCAAGGTCGCGGCTTGCTGGTCTGACCTATGACAGGACGATTTTGTCCTATCAGCAAGGAAGAAGACATTGCGGACTTCTCCGCCGTGTGGTAGTCCCCAGTTATGGAGTCCAAGTTGGACAAACTCAGAATATCCATGCATGCCGAGCTTGATAACGAAAGATGAATGTGTCTTCCGTCCAACTGCGCATTTTCAATATTGCGAGACAGGCAGCTCCTCATTGCTTTCAGATAAACCCCGAGAAGCTGTATTTGTAACATCCAGAGGGCAGACAGGGACAAGATCTTGGCTGTCCACAGATATGGGTCCGCTCATAATGAGTTTGTAATTCCCAAAGAGAATCGGGGTTTTGCCTACTGGCTTACCTGTAGCCACCCAGCAAGCTCATGTTTCTTGCATGTGCTACGGGGCGCCGCTGACACAAAGCTGGGATTGGTTCGGGAAACAACCTGCAGTTGAACCCTCCCCGAGATTTCCTTGGTTCGGTCGGTCCTCTTCCCTTGCTTGCTCTGCGCCAGCCGAGCTGCAGCCAAAAGCCGAACAGACCCGTAAAAAAGCACAAGAATGACCAATGAAACAGCTGCATTTTTACGAGCGATAAGATATTGGGACAAAATAAAAAGAAAAAAAATGGAGACTATAAAAATGGCCGACACAAATCCTACTCTAAATAAAATAATTATAACCTCCAGATGCATGCGACTCCTTATATAGCCGGGGCATCGCTCCATTGCCCTCGCTCTTTGCCTGGCCGTCCTCCCGTTCTCTAGATACAGGCCTACTTCGCTTTTTCCTCAACCGCTCCCCCAAGCCCCCCCCAAGTGTGCACAGCCCGTCAAGATGAAGGATTGGGGTGCTGCTGTCAACCGTGCTGTAGCGGGCAGCATTGTCGGCCGCCGCTTCAGGCTGGAGGGTTCTGGCCATGTAAGCAAGCAGACAAAAATAAAGAAAACCAGAATATAGAAGAGGGCGAATCAAAGGAAAGCGTTACAGACTGACGATTTCATCTTCTGTTTTCACGTAGCGACATGAGCGAAAGGGCACGCGCTTCTTGACTGAAGTCCGTGCCGGCCTCACCACATTCTTTGCCATGGCCTACATCATATCTGTATGTACTTATACCCCTCTCCATATACGTATCCCTTGCGGCTTTGCAAAATACAGCATGAAAATGGGTAGTACTAATGCACTAACAGGTCAATTCCAACATCACTTCTCAATCCGGCGGCACATGTGTTTGCAACGACCCAGTGGACCCAACATGTATGGGAAACACGGAATATGAGTTGTGCTTGAATGCGATCAGGCGGGACTTCATTACGGGCACTGCGGCGATAGCTGCCCTTTCGTCGTTCTGTATGGGTTTATTTGCCAATATGCCAATCGCATTGGGCCCTGGAAGTACGTATTTCTCTTTTCGGAAAAGGAAAAGAGAAAATAGTGCAACACCAAGTTTGGTTCAATATATATCATTGCTAACAGAATCCATTTACGCTGTTAGTGGGTTTGAACGCATATTTCGCGTATAACGTTGTTGGATTTCGTGGCACTGGCCCTGTTCCTTACCGACTTGCGCTTACTGCTGTCTTCGTTGAAGGGTTTGTCTTCGTGGGTTTGTCGGTATGCGGAATGCGCCAATGGCTGGCAAGAGCTATTCCACGGTCGATTAAGCTGGCTTCAGGTGCTGGTATCGGACTCTATCTATGTGCGTTTCGTGTCCCCTTGGACCTGTTTTTTCTGTCCTATACCCCACCCCCCAAGTCCACGGTTTCTAACAAATGTATTTCCCTTAATAGCTCTCATAGGCTTAACCTACAGTGCAGGTATTGGTGCCATCACTGGCGACACGGCAACGCCCCTAACTCTTGCTGGATGTGTGGAGAGCGAAATGGTAGACGGAATATGTCCCCCTGGAGCCAAAATGCGCAACCCAACGTTTTGGGTCGGCCTATTCTGTGGTGGCGTGTTCACCTGTATCCTCCTCATGTACCGTGTCAAGGGCGCCATCATCGCCGGTATCCTACTCGTGTCAATTATCTCCTGGCCCCGTCCGACCAACGTCACCTTCTTCCCACACAATCCCAAGGGAGACGACTCATTCGACTTCTTCAAGAAGGTCGTCACCTTCCACCCCATCAAGAACACACTAATAGCCCATGACTGGGATCTCAGCAACGCAGGCGGCCAATTCGGCCTGGCATTTATAACCTTCCTCTACGTCGACATTCTCGATGCGACCGGCACCCTATACTCTATGGCACGCTACTGCGGCGCAATCAATGAAAGAACCCAAGACTTTGAAGGATCCGCCATAGCCTATATAGTCGATGCGTTGAGTATCTCAATTGGCTCCCTTCTAGGCCTGTCTCCCGTGACAGCTTTTGTTGAATCGGGCGCCGGTATTGCTGAAGGAGGCGCCACAGGTATCACTGCCATGGTCACGGGACTCTGCTTCTTCGTCTCCATTTTCTTCGCGCCTATATTCGCCTCGATCCCGCCGTGGGCTACTGGCTGTACGCTCGTCCTGGTCGGGTCGATGATGACTAAAGTCGTATCAGAGATCAATTGGTCGTACGTCGGTGATGCGGTTCCGGCCTTCATTACTCTGGCGGTTATGCCTTTTACATACTCGATTGCGTACGGCCTCATCGCAGGGATCATGTCGTATATCCTGCTGAACACGGTGGCTTTCATCATTGAGAAGGCCTCGCGCGGCCGCATTGTGCCACATAATAAGAATCTGAAAGAGCCGTGGTCATGGAGGGTTCCTGGGGGGATTCTGCCAGCGTGGTTGGTTCGGTTGGTGAATGGGTAAGTTTTATTTTTTATTTTATTTTTTATTTTTTATTTTTATTTTTTAATTTTTTTATTATTTATTTTTTATTATTTTTTAAAGTTTTTTTAATCCCTTCCCCCCTCCTTTTATTTATTTACTCTCCCACCATCTAGAGTGATAAGAGCCAGGCTGACAACGATAACAGCAAGAGAGATTTCTGGCGCGAAGATATCCTGGATAATCAAGACTATTCACCCGGCACCAACTCTAACACCAATGCGGCGGAAACTGAAGGGTACGCCGTCAGGGAAAATAAAGGCGCTGGCGTCACTGCGGGTTCCACAAGTGATAGTGGCGACGTGCAAAAGGAACAGTAGTGCACGGTAGAAGTAGCGGGCTGCTTATTGATGTCTTTGGTTTGTGACTGGGATGCACGAGTTTTCGTCTCGAGACGGTGCAATGATGGGTCGTATTTGGGCCCCTTGTTGGGAGCGTATCCCTGGCTGCCCGCAGGATGATAATTATGTCATATGAGATGTGGTGTTTCTGGTTTTGTGTTCATTACCCTCATGCTGCCTATCCGCGTATGCATATAAATGCAGTTATAATAATTCATTTCATAATAATGTGCGTAGCTTTTATTATCATTTTTGTTTCTCTGAGGACATCTGTTTGTATATGCGATGTTTTCATTTGAGCAGCTTTTCCCATTGCTATTTCTCCCCCGAATTCGTTTCAGGAATAAAAGCTGAGCTTCCCGAATAGGGTGCTTACTTTAGTCCCGATTATTCTCCAAAATTTCTCCTCATCCATACACATGGGTGCGATATTTCTACATGAACAGTGAAAAATCAAGACTATATACGCTATTTCCACGATCTAGTTACGTCTATTACTCTTAAACGGAGTTGTTCCCCCCAATCTTCGCCCTCCCATCCCTCATTCGCGTAACATACCCACTTCACACCCTTCCGTTCACCTCCATCCCACTCTCAACCCTACGATGAAGACACCTCCGCTCCCAACAGCAATCGCATATCCGGATCCGCCTTAGCCATTGCTCTCTTATACCCGTCTCTCCCGCCAACTCCCGCCAAATAACCCAGAATCCCATCATACCCACGCAAGCTATACGCAAACCAATTCCTAAACGTCGTCAACGAAAACACAACCATAATATTCGCCGCCGTAAACTCATCGCCGGCCAACCACGTTGCACCATCACCGCCCTCGCTTTTCGGCTTGAAGCGCTTGTCCAGATTCTCCAGGGACCGCGTCAGCCTGTCATTCCAGAGGGCTACTATGGGATTGGGATTGGGATTGGCGACGGGATCCCGGCCCCGGGTCCCATCGCCGCCGCCGCCGGAGCCAGCATTCAACATCATGAGGCGTCCCAGAAATGGCTGAAACGTGCCATTGGCCTAGTGGAAATAGTAGACGAAGTCCGCACAGTCATGATGGCTTGGTGGCAGGAATAGTCTGCCGTTGCCGTGTTTCTGGCAGATGTACTGGACACATGCGCCGCTTTTTGAGAGAGTTAGGGTTCACGTATTCTCTCCATATCGTCCGTAGGGAGAGGGAAAGTATCTTGAATGATCGGTAGGGAGCCGGAAGGGTGCAGTGCTTTATATTTGTAGGTTTTAACTCGTAGGGGATGTCAAGTTCTTCGCAGAGCCAGGTGATGAGGTCGGATTGGAAGTTGTGGAGGTAGTGGATGGTTAGGGGCATGGTTGTTTTTTTATGTTGATCTTTCAGGGGTGTATAATGGAAATGATTGTTCATTGACGTGTGTAGCTTTGGAGCAGCGAATATGGGATTGGAGGTTTATCCATATCGGCCGATTTCCCGTTGGATATATGGAAACCCATCATTGGAGTGGGATGACAAGGAGACCTGCAAAATATGTCAGCTGAAGTGGTCTAACTTAGAAAAGTAGTTATCAATCCCGGCTTTCTTCTCCTATATCCGTCTACTACGCAGCTAGGTGGTTTTCGGGCCAAGTACCAACTTTGGTCGCGTAACTATGGTTTCGCGGCCTAATGGCGCCGCTGCTTAAACAAAGCGACATAACTAATTGTAGGAGGATTCATGTTGTGTGTGTTATATAAATAGTCTAGCTAGATATGATTGCAGTACCGGAGCAGCCACCAACAATATTTAATTGCATTGGCATGGGGACTAATAACTTATTCCTCATCGAGATGCGTTCAGAGTGAAGAGAAAAAGGAGCCGAATCAAAAATATCGGTCTGCTCATCCACGTGCTCCGAAAAGCCCTAACTAACCCACCAGCCTCCTGTTTCCCCGAAAGATCTTGTCAACTTCATATATACAACACCTACACGGCAAATTGTAGCGACGGGGAAATCAAACATGGGCTGTTCATGAGTTCTGACACTGTTATTCCGGCAATCTACCTACTTCAGACTTTTTGTTAACTCCCTATTCCTCCTTGCACTGATATCTTCCTGGCCAGCCTGTCCCAACCTACCGCCATTTGGATCCAATTGCGAGGTCTCCCAGGCGTGACGCTGGGGAAAGCAAGAGTAATTTTCCCGTATGCAGGACCAACGGGGAGAACGACGTCCGAGAGGCAAATACTCTCGCTTGATCTGTCGTGGTTGCAGGTCAAGAAAAATAAAATGCATACTACCAAACCCAAGTGAGATAACACCTTCAGCTATTCCGCAAGCCGCAGGAAAATCCTGCGAACGATGCTGCAATCTTAATTTGGAGTGCATCGTCGAGCGAACCTCTCTCGGACGCCCGGCAGCAAAGCGTATTCCGCGCACAGATTCTCATTCTTCTCGCTATGGTTCAGCCCTCCACACAGAGGCTGAAGTTGAGTCTGATGGGGCTGTACGTGTTACGGGCACTACAAGTACCCCTTCCAACCTAGAGGTTAAAGGGTATCTCTACTCAGAGGATATAGCGGACGACATCTTAATCATGCAGAATGATTGCGGGTTTAGTCCATCCGAATTACATGTTACTATGAGTAGCAAACAAGAGATTTTCCAATCGATGATTGAGCCTGATTGTTTCCTCTCTTCAGTATTGGCTAACGACAAAATATTCGGCTCAGCCATTCCCCATTCGACCTCGCCCCGGGACGCCCGGCGCCTCCTAGATCTCATAAGTCACGATATGGCCTCATCACTTGATGCTTGGTGAGCTATCTACTATTTCAAGTCCACCACTCCTCCAGTCCTTACTTGCAACACTTTCTAACCAGGGCAGGAATAGTTTGGTTTGGCATCGATTCTTTCTCCCACAAACACCAACACTGGTGAGCATACGGAATCGATTAAGTTCAGATGAGTGTGCATCTTCTAATTGTGCGACGAATCTACTCTTCGCATTGCTCTGTTTGATTGCTTTCGAGTCACCAGAGACTCCGTTCGGGCAGAAACATCACCACCTAAAGCGGAGTATCCAGCTCACTGTGTCAAGCTACGGGCAAGAATTTATCTTCTCTCCACCCACTCACCGTGATTCGGTTGTGGTCAGCCTTTTACTGTCTGACTACAGGCCCGCGGCTATAGTTAGCTCTCCGAATGTCGCACATAAAGCAGTAAAATCCGGACTGTACGTGAATATTGCATACAGGATTGCAGAGAAACTGGAATTGTTGCCCACACAAGCCACTTTAAATCCAGGCGAACTGAAAGCTGTGGAATTTTTCGGCTCAGAGTTTTGTCTTACAGACGTCCTGCAAGGATTGCAGGTATTCTGTTATGATGCCCTGCTAGATGGCTTCATTACAAAACCGCTCCGGTTTATGAGGAAAGTGGTCAGCTGTATCAAGCCTCATATGGAAGTTTACCAAAACGTATTGAAACATCGCTCATACCCACCATGGATCATATACCATATCCAAAACACGGTGGCAACCAATATCATGCTGGAAGCTCTGGTAGATATGAAACAAAGCTGGAGCAGTCTAGAGAGCCTCTCTATCATTACAGAAGACTGCGAAAGGAAGTGCCTAGAACAAGTAGAGCACACCGATTGTTTGCTTGCACGCTTGTCCAGCCCCGGGAACCAGAACGAGCTATTGGTCGTCCGCTCCCTACTTGAAATTCGATTTCACTCCGTTTACACTGCTATCTATGGCGCCGGACTGTTTTACGCCACTGTGCTGCGAGCGAGGCTTCAAGAAAGTGGTAGAGTCGGAACTGATCCCGAAATCAATTGTCACGAAGCCGCCCAACTCGGTGCTCAGCTCATCGACACATGTAAAAATATATCAAGTGAGAAAGTCCTGACCCTCTCAGCATTTATGGGCCGTTTTGGTGGACCCTACCCGGAAAAACTGGGAGCCATCTTGGAAATGTTCATCGAATGTGCAGAAAAGTTGGCACTGAATAGAATAGCCTTCTGCCCTCCACCACGACAGTTCGTCCTCGAGATCGTCTTCCTCTGCAAAAATATAGTGGAAAATAACGTCATTCAATTCAAGAGCTTTGGCAGGCTGCATAAGGATTTTGAGAGACAGCTCGGGTTGTTTGAAAAATGTGCACGCCGTATCGAGTCCATGGTGGTCTCTGACTGGAACTCGATTGACGCTGCCTTTGCAGGTGGCTGTGTATATGCTGCGAGCAGCAAAATCATCCATGGACTTTGTGAGGTTATGGAAAATTTGAAGATAAGAGTTTCAAAGGAAACAAGTGGAACGGAGAAACCCAGCATGCTCGAAGTGCCTACGGATCTTAGTGGATTGGACGTCGAAGTTCCCTCTGGCGGATGGGACGTATGGCCTGAGGTAGGAGGATTTGAAAATTTTGGAACTTTACAAGGACAATTTGACTGGTCCTTTATCCAGAGCTCTCTTCTGGAGTTTGAATCGACAAATACATCATTTGGTGATAGAATTGAATGAGAGCAAAATCCAACCTATCGGACATAGCATGCCAGAACCGCCATGGAGCAGAACTGGTCGGATGATAACCGCCGTCTCGGCGTTACTGTCTGGCAACGTAATATCAGGTCTGTTCTAGGCTAAATTACAAATCAAAATTACCATTGGCAAAGTGGAACGAATGTTGTGTCTCATCCAGAAACACCTGCAGTCCAGAGACAAAACTCCAACGTCGAATAAAACATATGATAAACGAAAAGAAGGAGGGGGGGGGGGGACGAAACAGAGCGGCTCCCCTTTCCACTACAAGTCCACGCGGGATATCTTAAACCCTCCTGGGAATCTTCTCTGGAACACACCAAGGGGGTCATACTTCGCAGCCACACGCCTTATATGATCCACGTTCTCCTTGCCATAGCTCCCAAGAGGATCCTGCGACGGGTCTGCATAGTTCATGTAGATCAGTCTGTTATCCCCACACAGCGAAATCGAAAACTCTTTGAGCTCCGCAACCATGGCACTCATCCGGGTTCGTGCGATGGCAAGCGCCTGCTTGTCACTTTTCACCGCCACACCGCCGGTCCAAAGGACGGCGTTGTGTTCTTGAGAATCGACCCCGAGCATGTTACCACCCCTTTGCTTACTGATATCGCCGAAGAACGAAGGCTCGGGCTGGAAGAAAACCAGTGACACGAAATTGTCTGGCCCAATGGCGTGATTCATGTCTTTGACATATTTCTCATTTAGCTTCACGGCGTGGGCTAAGATTCGTTTATCATTCTTAAACGTCAACGTTGCGCCAAAATTCCTATAGATAGCAAGAGGGGGCCTAGTGTTAGCAATTGTCCTGAATTTTTTATAATGGAAGCGAGTGACAGACCATGTTCCGGAGGAGAGCTGTGAGTCTTCAGCAGCGTCTGCGAGACTTAGAGATCTCGTCTCATCAGGAATAAGGGACGGAATCTGGTTCAGCTTTTTGAAGCCTGTACTGTTGTGAATTCCCTCAGTGTTGACATGTATCGCAGCGGCCACGACATCCATTGGGAGAGCTGACGTATTATGCATGAGAAACGCAACTAGTGCGTCCGTATCGAATTCTTCATAATGGTCGGTGAAGTGAACAATCGCATCCACCAGCTCTGAGGAGTACTCCACGCTCATGAAGCGGGTTCCATACGCAATGTCCTTCGCGGGTAAAGCCTCCATATCAAAGCGGGTGACGATCCCGAAGTTACTCCCGCCGCCCTTCAGCGCTCGCCATAAATCGACATTCTCCTCCCTGTTCGCGTTTACGATGGTGCCATTGGTCAAAACAACCTCGAAGTTCCTGACAGAGTCACAGGCAAACGCTTCACGGCCCATATAGTACGACGAGCCCCCTCCCAACAGAAACCCGCCCACGCCAACGTCCCCATCACGGCCGCTAGGCACTACCACCCCATACTTGAGCAGTTCAGCCAAGACATCCTTCCATCTACCGCCAGGACCAATGCTGGCAAGATTTGTTCGTTTGTCGTAGGTGGCCTGGTTCAGCATCCCCAAGTCGATAGTCACTCCGTTATCAATATTGTTCGAGTGCCTGGGGCCGTGTCCCCCTGCACGGACGGCAACATGCCAGTCTCCAGCACCATCTCCAGCCCCGGCCCCGAGCAAGGCGGTCATGATTGTGGATACTTCCGCCGCATCACGCGGCTGCACGAGGCACCAGGGCCGCTGTCGGGTGTCTAGAGACCACCAGCTTGCAATACGTGGTTCGTATTCCGCGTCTGTGGCCAAAAGCAGTCGGCTGCCCAGACCTGCCCGGATAAGCGCATCGCACTGTCCTGAATTAGTTCATTTTCATTCTTGAAGACAAGATGGGGATATGCATATATGTACAGTAATTGTGATCACGGAAGGGTATGCGAGCGATAAGAATTGACGGGTGACTTACAGGAGGGAAACCTGTCGCTGCTTCATTCCCAGCAGTCGCACCATCTGCTGCAGCCGCATATCTATGCAACAGCAGAAATGCTGCAATTGTCAACGGCGCTAGATACATTTTGGAAAATAGTAGTAGACCACAGAAATAGGGAGAGCTATCCAAAAAGCGAAAAGAAGCCTCTTTTTGTAAAACTTTGCTGACCGACCTAGAAAAGAAAATCTCTCCCAACAGCTGAACCTTCAAAGGAAAGAATGGATATAATAATAATAGCCTACGACAAACTATAGTCCTCATCCTGATTATATATAGTTTTTTTTTTTTTTTTTCAAATCATCGACATGGTCTCTCATGATTTGGTAGTTACCAGCCCAGCCTGAATAAAGGGGAATAGGAGTAAGGAGTGCATCGCCCTCGGGGAGCGCGCAACGAGAGCGCAACGAGAGCGCAACGAGAGCGCAACGAACATAAAATTATAGCCCTGACAAGGATACCTTACTATAGCCACCAGACAGACGAAGGGCGCAATTAGAGCGCAACGAGATGGATGAATGTCTATCTACCTACCTAGACAACGCCAGTGACAAAGGTGCCCAGCGCAACGACCGCGCAACGAGAAAATTTTTATTTCCCGCGCAAACCAGACCTTCTCATGTCTGCCTACCCAACCAACGCCGCCCCGCCTAGTGCAAGGATACATTCATTCTACCAAGAGCATTCTTTTTTTTTTTTTTTTTTTTTTTTCAAATGCGCAGCTCAAGTCCTCATGGAGCCAATCGCCGATCGATGAGAACGAATCAGGGGGCGGCGACGATTATGACGACTATGCAAATGGGTATGATAACGCCAGGGGGTACAGTGACATGTGCCCCATACAGGCCATAAATAAGTAGAGGGAGGGGCCAGGCGGAGCTTGCTGCGTCCAGAATGCTATATGCTATATATATATATATCTGCAGAAAGCCTGGGGCAGTTTACACCGGGCTTCCAAGCCCACGGGGTTGGGTGGATGGGTCTTTCTTTTCGTCCCTTCCCCTCTATCGTGTAGCCCTATTCATATAAGGGGAGCCCTGTGTCCGGTCGAACACGGGGAGCTAGATAGGCATTGTAGTAGGTCCCGCGTTTCTAAATAAATAAATTATCATTTTTCGCAACTAGAGAGGTATGAACATATCAATGAAAATGAAAAATGATAAATGATAAAAATGAAGAAGGCAATGACAAACAAACAAGCTGCCAGCAGCACAGCACTAAACTACTCAATCTAATAAAATCCAAGCTGGTTGCTGCATGTATGCACACACACACACACAAGAACTGAAGAAAGAAGATGCAAAGAGACAAAAACAAGGTAATGTCTCCTTGCATAGTGTAAGTGTAAGAAAGCTGATGAGAGAGAGAATATAAATAGAGTGTGAGAGCTAGAAAACACAACTCCTAGAACTAAACTAAACTAATCTTTCTTGCCTGCCTGCCTGTAATATCAAGAATTGAACACAAAAATGAAGGAACAAAAATAAAAATAAAGAGCGGGGCATACTAAACAAGAGAAGATAAAGAGGGGCATGATAGAACGTATCAAAGAGAAGAATACAAAATACAAAAATGGAAACAAAGGTGCCAGCAGAGAGAAGCCTCATAAATGATTTGGGTGAGGAAAGGGAGAGAGAAAGAGAGTAAAAAACAATTGTAGGCCCGAAAGGAAATGAAGAATCATGATTCTAATAAACAATCGATGCATCTCACATGTGTTCCGCTATAGCCATTCTCGACGTACAACCACGTTCTCAAGGCGAAGACCCGGCCGCTGTCGTCGTGCCCCTTCTCTTAGGCTGTGGTGGCCTTCTCAAGCTTTTGACCCGGTTGATGAAACCACCACTACCACTAGCTGTGTGTGCGTGAGTCTTGGCGTCTTCGCCGCCGCCGATACTGGAGCTGCGTCCTTCTGTAATTCTTGTTTCGCCCGGAATGGCCTTTGGGCTACTAGTTGATCGTTGTCTAGTGTGGGGGAGGAGGTTATCTGTCATGCCGTCATCGGAAAGCTGGATCTTGGCGCCTTTTTTATCGTATGCATCATCATAATCCTGTTGTTGGAAGAATGGGTTTTTATCGTTAGGTCGTCTAGAGCCTGAAGCTCGGGGAGGGCTTGCCTGAGTGAAGTAGTTGTTGGAATCAATAGCAGAATCTGGCGGTGAGGTAACACGGGGGACTCTATTGTTAATTCCGCGGATTTTCTGTGCAAGACTCTTTTTGCGCTGCAATCCTCCATTCTGTAAGTTGTGAGCTTCATTCTCACTCTCACGCCGCTGTATGGCAGCACGGCTGGCGGGAGCGCCTTCAAGGAATGTACTGGTTCCCAAGCCCATACTTTCAGCTCCATGGATTGGTTCAAGTTTGGCTGTTGGATCAAATGCTGCGCTTTGGTTTATCTTGCTGCTAGTCAAACCACTGCTTGCATAATCCGCATACCCCTCTTCTCCTCGTCCATGGAAGAGATTGAGATCGATATTGGTGTTATTAGGTCCCGCTCCGCCCAGCGCCATGTTTCTCGAATCCTTTGCGAAAGCTTGCATCGGAGCGGCTCGTGACCCTTTACGATTGCGGTGAGGGTTACATGCATCGAAAGGTCCATCATGGTGGAAGACTAAGAAACAGGGAACATTAGTGGACGTTTTGAAAATGAGATAAAAAGTATTTATAAGAGAACAATTAATTCTTACGGCCAGTACCATATATGCTGCTAACATCCAATTTATCAATAATATCAAGTCTATGTCCATTTGATCGCTTGCTGCGAGATTTGCCGTCCTTGGGTTTGGCATCACGCTCTCGTTGTCTCCGTTCTCGTCTCCGTCTTTCTGCCTCAGGGTCGATTGGTCTTGAAGGGATATCCATGAGGGAAGAGTCTGAGTTGCGACGGGGTCGACGCTGGTTGCGGGATTTTGAGGGTTCCTTAGGATCTGCGAAGATGTCTCCAATTGGCGGCCGACCGTGTCCTTTGCTGCGTGACTGTGATTCTTCCTTGGATGGTCGTCGAGCGGGGCGGCGAGAGGAGGCCTTATCGTCAGAGAGAGAGGGTCTGGATGGGGGAACGTTTTCCGGTCGTGGTAGAGCTGGTCGTCTTCCTTTCGAACTCGAGGGCTTATCGACTGGCGTGTCAAGAGAGAGGTTTTCCTGAAAACAAAATAGGTCTTGTATTAGAATATAAAACGTCACAAAGCTGAGTTGGCAGTACTTGCTGCTTCGTTTTTAATTTTGTAGAAGTGGCTCAGGGGGCATACAAATAGTTCTGCAGCGTGTCCAGTCAACGGCGGATCCACTGTTGAAAGCCTTTCCGGTGACATATTTCGATTTGGATCGGGGAGCGGAGTGAAAGATTCTGAGTCGTCCAGGAACGGGTTTCTTGACACTGGGCGTTGTCTCGGAATAGAAGTTGTGGGGGAAGCGATTGAAGGCGATGAAGCACGGTTTCTAAAAGGGTTGTTGGATCCCAAATTGACAGTCAATCGCGGCGAGGGTTGCCGGTCTAGGAAGGAGAATGGTGAAACGAGGTTAGCAAGATCTTGGATGGATAGGATAGGCTGACAGGCTTGGGAGTTCAAATTGCGGCGGATGGGTCCAGCAGGGTAGCTGCCAGGAAGTCTGAAACCGCTAATGGCCAAGACTCGCAACAAAGCGGATGTAGTAGTAGAGGAAGTAGAATGCTTGATGGATACGGTTATGGTATTAAGAGTTGATGAAGATGATAATAGTGTTGGGTTTGTGGGTTGTGTTGATTGATTGTTATTGGGGGAAAATGGCTGAACAATGAAGGATAAAAAATGAAGGGAACATTCACACACACCTGGCACAGATATCGGGGCAAGAGACATGGTGAGAGTGACAGTGTGGTATTACGATTATTAAGGGCAAGGACGATGAAGTCACAGCAGCAGCAGCAGCAGCAGCAGCAGCAGCAGCAGCAGCAGCAGCAGCAGGGAGCAAGCAGCTGGGAGCAGCAGCTGGGAGCAGGTTTCAGGCAAAAAAGAGTCTACCGGCAGGCAGGGGGATCCTGTGAACCTGTGAACAAACCAACAGCCAGCAGTTCAAAGACAGGAACAGGAACAGGAACAGGCCTGGATAGCAGCTCCTCCTTTCTTGGTTTCTTTATTTTCTTTCTTCTTATTCGACAATAAAAACGGCCGATCTAACAGAGGATGGTTGGTGGTCGCGCGAAGTATCCTCTGTTTGCTCGAAACCCCTAACCGCCCGTTGTTGTTTTGTCGTCAGTTTGGTCGAATGTCGGACGATGGAATGATGATCAGGGACGAGTGTGAGGGAACGCAGTGGACACAGACGGCAAGTTAGACGATGACGAGGTGGATACGCCCAGCAATGGCGAAACTAATAATATTTACGCAGTCAGCTAACTTATCACTCACAAAGCTGCGGAGTAGATCGATTGGTGATGTTAGGAGAAAGCCCTTGACCAGCTGGGACGAATCAACGGGGGGCTTCCTGACAGGTGAAACAAACGGATGTGGCGACCAAGCAGAGCGTGAGCCTGGGCAAAGGGCGGGGAACAACAATGAGAGGGATGAAGCGGACAAGGACAAACAGAACAGAACAGACGGAGAATGAGCTTGATGAGAGGATTGCATGGGGTAGACTTGGTTACGGGGTCGATTTGAGAGCCTGGGACGGAGTTGAGCAATGTTCCCGAAATCCAGGGGAAACCTACGGAGAGAGATCACGGGTCAATAATAATATTATTATTTATGTTAACGAATGAAAGAAGAAGAATAATAATAATAGCTAATAACGGGGGAGGTAAAAGCGGAACTGGCCAGGGGGATCGACGGCGGGTGCAACTGTGAGCATTATTAACTAATTATTAAATAAGGGGGCTGTTAAGGTCGAAGGTTTGTAGGTAAGGAAGCATACTATTATGTATAAATATTGAAGCCGACTTACTCGGAGACGGAGAGACACACTACACTACGCTAGTTACGGAGTACAGTACACTACACTACTATGCACAATCCTTGGCTACCACGGAGTTCCACAGGGGGATTCTCACGCCAATTAAATGGACCATATCTGTCTGTCTGCAACATCGAGATCTCCAGCTACGATATCAATGGATGACGATTGCGAAAACACACGGGACAACTGGAATGGACGAAGGTCACAGCGAGGTGGGTTACGTGGAAGTTCGGATACGTGTGTATCATCATTATTGTTCCATGGTGACGATCTAACTTCTGTTCCTGACTATACTCGCTCGCAGCTTTTGGTATTTCCTAAGCTCCAACCATGGCCACTGAATGATGCCCTGCCCTGCTTGCTGTTGATCTTGCATCGCGTCCCAGTGTTCTTGTCCTCCACAACCACGCCTGGAGCCTAGCCGGCTTAACTAACGGAGTTATGTAATAACCAATGCGGAACTCAAACCACCATAATAGTCACTCAAATTCCCCCAAATATCCGCGAAGAAAACCAGGAATCCTGTCGAGATCAAACCACTCATTTTCCATGATCCTTACCGCAACGCGTCGGGACCCGACCTCCAGACCTCCAAATCCCGCGATCAAGTTCAATCTTGTTTAAAATGGATAATCTTCATTTCCACAACCAAGGGCCTGATATCCGGATTGAAGGGTGTCCAATCCAACCCCCCGTCGTCGTAGCACTTTGCACCTCTACCTGGAATTCCCCGTCCTAGACACGGATATACAGAAAGAGGGACAAAGATCTGCTATGAATGTACATGTACTTAGACCTGTTGGTTAGCTAGCAGCTTGCTAGAGGAGATCAACAAACCATACATCTTTTATATATTTCGCAAGGTGAGCAGGAGTATAATAGCAGAAGTAGAACAAGACCGATCCTGAGACACATTTCTTTAAAATAAAAATAATAAAAAAAAATCCGCCCTGGATTTTGGATCTTCGAGCTAGGAAACCCTGTCAATAATCTCTCCAGAGGAGAGGCATAGTGGGCTGGATTGCAGATGAATGAACAGGTGAGTTAACAACTATAAACAAGATGGACTCTCTGGTTAATATTGTATACAGAGTATACTCCGTATATATATGTGCTAACACTCAAGCTGAAAGAGTGTCTGATTGCCAGTAATCAGATTGGCTGTGCTCAATGAGTTACATACCCTGGTAAACCACCCACACAGCATCAACTCTCCCATCCTATAACTCACATGTCTTTCTCACCTGGGCAGAGTCATGGCCAATTGAACCACCAATGCCTTTCTCCAATTTCGCAGCTTAAGATCATGGGTAACTGGACCATCCTGCAGCCAGACACAGCTCTCTCTTTTGCCCTCACACAGAAGTATGGCAACACACATGGAACCCAGCAGAGTTAAATGCAAATTTGTGGAAGAAGTTGAGTGCCACAGCCTGGCTGGCAGGGGATAGAAGGCAAAATTGTCTTATTGCCCTCTAGATCTCTGCTGCAACATCAGCTGAGTGAACTCAGAAGATGTAGATTCTTTCACAGCTAGCTAGTGCTCAATCCAGGCTCCCTGGAAAGGCTGTTGTACATGTACATACAAAAGCTGCTTGATTCCTTCACAGTCTCTGGGCCAAATGGCACTCATCAGTGTTTAATCCTGAATGATGCTAGAATCAAATATTCATGAAGCAAAAGAGGTCAGGGACTGAATCCAGCAGTTGACAGAACATATACAGCACACCCACAGGAGAGGAAGGGGTTTGATACCTTTTCAGCAGAGGCAGAGAATGCATTCTGTGACATGATGAAAGTTGATGTTGGTTCTGGAGCCTAGCAAAAGGGCCACAATTGAGGAAGTGATGGGATGTGAGTGGATGCAAAGATGGGGCCTGCCAGGAGTGCAGAAAATGCAGGATGCAACACTGAATGGCTCTTGAGCTGCTTGCTGCTGGCTTGGTCCGTCCCTTGACGTGAGTCTATCTCTCATCGTAGGCTTGGGCGGACGCCTTTGTAGGTTTACGATTAGCAATTTCTCTTCGTGCAAACATACGTAAGATGCTTTACAGCGTAACAATTTCTATTAACACGTACGCAACAATGGTACAAAGAAGCACGGAGGTAGATTGTAGAATTTATGGAATTATTGTAAGATAATCTCTTTGTGAGTATATTTATATACCCTAGCAATCCTATCTAGATATGTGAGGCAATATGAGGCAGCGGCACTTGGCCTGCAGGAAGGAGACTCTGTGATCCATGGATGTCATGGATGCCCTTTTGTGAGTAATGCTTATTTTTATTTAGCACCCCGTCAGACAGCGGGGTTCAGTGCTTGGAGCTTTGGCACACAAGGTACGGAGTAATTTCTGTCTGTTTGCCACACGGATGACAGGGCTCAAGCTTTTTTTTTTTTTTTTTTTTTTTTTTTTTTTTTTTTTTTTTTTTTTAATCTTTTCCACGCACGCTCAAATGAATAGATTAATCATATTTCGAACCGTACACTACGCGTATATATAATATTTAATATTATTAAATAGTTTCTGCTGCTAGGTTTTATATTCTGGTACAATTGTTTTATCCCCATTTCGCGAGATTATATGATGTAGAGAGAGCGCGTCCTGTTTTGTCTTTGTCTGGTGGGTCTGCTGTGCTCTCCAAGGCGGACTGGCGGCACAAAACCCAGGAACAATTACTAATTCCACGAACAAACCGGAAGTCCCGGAACTTGGTAATTCATCAGAGCCCAAGAAGCTGGAAAGTACTTATATCACAGGCTGCCAGCTCGCATTTCTCAAGAGTGCTCAGCAGACTTGCCTGTTTTTTCAACTTTGGGCGAGACCATAAAGCGCAGAGTCAAGCAGATGGCACATCCCACCGCGAAACATGCTGCCTCCTCTCATACCGTCACATTTCTGCCCTGGCGAATACTGACATGGCCAAGGTAGCCAGCAGAGCGCAATTTCGAGGAGGTTAGTTAGCGAGCGTGGGAGCGCTGCATCTCTAATAATAATTAACAGACGTGCCGCAGTTCAGTTCAGCCCTGAAATCAGGTTGCAGCGAGCCGCCTACTCTACTTGTAAAGGAGAGGCGCTGGTTTGCAAGAAGATATTACTGCCCTGCCCCTCATTCACTTTTTTACAAAATCCACATTCCAGCGTGAAAATCATGGCCCAAGAGATGTCTGGTTGGTAAAATTCTTTACAAGAAACCCGCTTGTCCATCTGCGATAATCACCCACTGACTGGCTTTTCAACCAGGAACATCTACCCCCAGCTCAACTCATTCTAGCGCTTCTGTTGATAAATATGATACTAACTCTGGGGAGAATTCGGCGCGCTGGTCGCCGGACCCCCAAGGCTCTCATGTCCAGCCCTTGTGACATGTTGAAGGATGATGCGTTCCTGGCTCCGCGCTACTTGCTCGCTACTCGCCATGACACTGTTTTCCTCCCATCCTCTTTCAGGCCTCGAGTGAGTTGAGAGAGGGGGGGGGGCTGAGTCCTTAGCGCCAGATAATGTCTTACGATTCACTTACGCACTCTCTGGGATCCATGTCGGGGAAAATGCCTGGAAAGAGAGAGAACAGATGCCCGAGTAGTTGCACATTACTACTGGAAAATATAGGGTCGATTTTTCTCAGTGATGTTGTGATCGATGTCACAGAAGGGCCTGTTCGGGAGGCGATTGCTGAGATCAGTGAAGCCAACTCACTAACAAAATGCGCCCGTGTTATGTTCACAACAGGAGTCCAAATTCCAAATTGCCCCCATTAATAGGCGGAGCAGGTCTTGTGCCAAGCTTTCACACCCAACTAATAACCGACGGGACGCTTGCGGATAATCTAGTCAGGGCCTTTACACAAACGCGTCAGCCTACCTGGCCTCACTTCCAAGTTCCAACTTCCAACGGCAAAATTCACTTGTGCTTGAGCGGATTGTCGCAGCTCTGGCCCTTTGGGGAATTATGTTTGAGACGTATTTTGTGGGTCGTTCATTGCCAAGGCAGAAAATGGTGGATTAACAGGATCATTCTGCAACTTTCAATTCGTTGTGGTTGGGGGTAGAGGACAGAGTGAAGTACCTGACCTTTAGGGCGGCGTTTGCGGAGGAACGTGCTTGGGATGGATGGAGGTTACATGGCGGCGCTCCCAGATTGGCGTTGGCAGTGGGAACACCCCGGGACCGCCAAATCAGAAGCTGTCTAACCCCCATAAAAGAAATTGGAAACTCGCCCCTCTTTGTTACCAATGGTCCTCTTTTCTAGGCTCCGCTATTGATTCGCCCCCCCTTGCATGTGCTCCGGATCGCATCATTGTCCCTTTTCTCGATTTTTTGGCTGACATCTTTTTTTCTTTCAACATCACTATGCGACATCTCTAGACAAATTTCAACCCCATCGAAACTCCCAAGTTCGAGGTCTCTGGAAATTCGATATACCTAGTACCGAATTTCTTTTCTGTTATTTTTCCGTTGAATGAATAGATCCTCTGCACCAGTTATGGCTGGGGCCAGGACTAAGGCCAATGTTTTGTCGAGGAGGGAGATCGAGGGCATGATCGCGGATGGCCGATGTATCGTTGTTGTTGATGACCAGGTGCTTAAGCTCGATGCTTGGCTGAAGTTCCATCCCGGGGGTGATTTGGCTATCAGGCACATGGTAGGTAGAGATGCCACAGACGAAGTGAACGCGTAAGAGCCATTCTTCCTCTTATTTTCCAGGTCCAAAACTCAATGTTCAGCGCTTACTATTATTTCTTTGGGGCGATTTATCAGACTCCATTCCAAGGCAACCAGACAGCGCATGACTGCATTCCAGATTGGCCGCGTCGAAGGCAGATGGACCAATTTCCTCCCTCCCATTCAAGGCGGCCGCTTTAGAACCTACGTTAAAGACCAGGAGGACACTGATGTTACCGGGTCCGATACAATGAGCGAGATATCCAGTGAGGAGAGCTCACGATCACGCTCACCTTCTCCAGTCTTCGATTCTGCGGATGAGAATTCTGTTTTGAGGGAGAGGAGAAACGGTTCTAGCACAGACCTGTCGACAGCTGGGTCGAGCACGCCACCTGCAGATTTCAGCTCCGAGGCTGAAATGAGGTTATCGATCGTCGACGCCTGCACGCAGAAGGAAATCATACTGGACAAGACCACTTACCCTCCCGTGGATCCGGCTCACCAGGCCAATATTAGCGCAAAGTACCGTGCCCTGGAAAAGCGCATCCGTGCCGCGGGACTCTACCAGTGCAACTACTCCGCCTACGCAGTCGAAGCACTCCGATATTCTATATTTTTCGGACTCTTCATATTTTTCCTGCGCCGCTCCTACTTTTGCATTTCCGCATTCTTCCTGGGCTGCTTCTGGCATCAACTTGTCTTCACTGCCCATGATGCAGGGCATAATGGCATTACGCACATTTACAAAGTCGACGCCACGATTGGAATCATCGTCGCAGATTTTATCGGGGGATTGAGTTTAGGCTGGTGGAAACGCAGCCATAATGTCCATCACATTGTCACAAACTCGCCAGAGCACGACCCTGATATCCAACTTATGCCATTCTTTGCGCTAACTACGAGATTTTTCAACAGTCTCCGCAGCACCTATTATGATAGAGTCATGGGTTTTGATGCCGTGGCCCGGTTCACAGTTAAGTATCAACACTACATGTACTACCCAATTCTTCTCTTTGGCCGCTTCAACCTCTACTTCCTTAGCTGGGAGTATCTCATCATGGGCCTCGGCCCCAAGAAAGGACCTGCCTGGTGGCACCGCTGGTTCGAACTGGTTGGCCAAGTCTTCTTCTGGACCTGGTTTGGCTACGGAGTTGTCTATGCTTCTATTCCCACATGGACAAGCCGGGTCTTATTTGTGCTCATCTCGCACATGGTCACCGCTCCCCTGCACGTCCAAATTACTCTATCCCACTACGCCATGTCCACCGCTGATCTGGGCATTCATGAATCCTTTGCTCAAAAGATGCTCCGCACCACAATGGACGTGGACTGCCCCAAGTGGCTTGACTTTTTCCATGGCGGCCTCCAGTTCCAGGCCATCCACCACCTGTACCCTACAATCCCGCGGCATAACCTGCGCAAGACGCAGCGTTTTGTTCAGGAATTTTGCAAGGAGGTTGAAATTCCGTATGCTGTGTTTACGTTCCTCGGTGGGAATAAGAAGGTTATTCAGAAACTGGGGGATGTGGCTATGCAGGCGCGGATTTTGGAGGATTGTAGAAGGGCGTGCGCGGCACATGGAGTGTTTACTGACCATCATGCTCATTCACATGAGCATGCGCATTGAATGAACATCTTTGTGGTCTAGCGGTTCATTTTCATTTTCTTTGCTTTCCCTTTTTTCCCCCCACTTTCTCAAGCTCCTTGTGCATATGGGGCTGCATATGTTCCAAGACGATCATCCCTTGACCGAGGGAGGGGACATGTTTTTTCTTTCCCTCACTATTTTTTCATTTTTTTTTTCATTTTCCCTTTTTCCTGCCATCTTTCATTATGTTATTTTGTTTCATTCAAGGCCGACTTTATATGATGGTTCCTCCCAGTTCTTACGTGTACCCATATTATGAGATTGTAATTTGATACTAGATATATTCCTTTTTAGCTTTTGCAGCCTGGGTGATGCTTTAGACAAACGGTACTGTAGAAGTACCTTTGACAAGAAGATATCCCGCGTTGTTAGCTGTAAATTGCTCAGAACATAACGTGAGGTCTCCATCGACCATCCATCCTGTCTGGCGATGAAGCGCCGTAAGCAAGTACACAACGTTCCCCCTCCCCTGGGTCAAAACCTGAGCAGCCTTTCTTGAATGTGTGTGTGGCAAATGAGAGAGGTACACGTATCACTGGGAATGTCAAAGGAGTTGTTTCAAATCGCGTTCCACATTGGTTTACCAACTCCAACTTGACCCAAAGTGACATACAAAAAACAAAAAAAAAGCGGTTTTTCTGTGCTACAGTATGCCCGCGTATCATTTTTTGAGCATACTGTTTTCGAGATTAGTTTGTAATAAACAAGAAACTAAGTTGAATGGATAAGCGTCCTAACTATAACTTACCCATACCATGGTACCCCCTTGAAGAATGATCCTTCTCCCACCCAGATCGTTTGGACAAGAATGTTTGATGTCACGTGATGACGAACCTAGCCCCCTGGTGGAAACAAACAAGAAGTGTCAACCATTTACATCTTCGACGCAATTCAATGGGGTGTTCTGTATGATATCGTATGATATCTCACGAAGTACTCGTCTAGCCTTTGATATTTACTTGCACCATGGCTCAAACGAACTCTCCCAACCCACCCATCCCCAATCTAGAAAACCCTCGATTCACACTTGAGCTCGAATTCGTCCTCTCCCTCGCGAACCCTCATTACATCTCGCACCTAGCCGTCGCATATCCTCACCTCCTTGGGGTGTCTTCCACCTCTTCCGCATCATCTCGCGCCGCTGGCGATAATTCCCCGTCTTCTCCTACCTCCGATGCCCAAGCATTCGCCGCCTACCTCGCCTATCTATACTCGTACTGGAAACGCCCTGAGTATGTACAGTTTCTAACACATCCAGGCGCGACGTTACGGGCACTGCGGCTGCTGCAGGACGAGTCTTTCCGGCAGGCTGTAATTCGTCCACAGGTGATCGAGGCGCTGTTGGGTGCTGGAGGGGACACGCATGGGGGGGACACTGGGGGGGCTGGAGAGAATGATAATGAGAAAGCCGCGCAGAATGAGCCTGACGCCGCGAAATTGACTGGTTCTGGTGGTCTTGAGGGCAGAAATGGGATTGGAACTTGAAAGGAAAACAGGCTATCAGCAGCCTTTTCTCTTCTATTATTCCCTGTCATGGAGGTTTGATCTCAGTGGGATATATCCTGCGTCACATGCAGCTTATGCCGAGATGTTATAGTAAATCGTTGGAGCAATAGTGGGCGAAAAAGCGAAGAAGAACCTGCCAACCTCTAACTATGTATGTACAGTACATGCGCATGGACTGTACATGTATTAAAATTAGTTATGGTGTTGCTAGCGATATGCCTGCCTGACTGATTGGGCCATAGCAACGCGATATCTAATGCTGGGCAATCCTCCCCACCTCGATGACCATCTACGAAAACGCCCAAGGCCTTTGCTGGATTCACGAGCCTCGTGCACGGATTTGACGAGGCAAGCAAGGTCCACTAGATCAGACGGGGTTCAACCAGTTGAATATACGACCGACAACACAAGCCTACGGTGCACAGCAAAGGAAAAGATAAAAAATTTCCATTTGTGGCACCTTTTGGTTTTGTTCGTGTCGCCTTTACCCGACAACTCGACAAGAACATCAATCCGCAGCCCGCCGGTCGCCGGATAACACGATACCAATTGCCCCAAGTCTTGGTATATCAACTTTTTCACATTCGATGCCCTTGCGCAAACAGTGCCATCTCTAGCCGATCCGGCACTTCCATCGTCACCCCTCCATCCTTGCCATCCGGGGTAAATTCAGTCTGAATGATCAGCCTAAAACGGGGGAATTTCACCCAATAATCCTTGCTCGGCCAGTCGGAAATTGAAATTGGGCCAGGCGAGAGCTGTGAAACCAAGATCAAGTTCACCAATAGGGACGGGCTTTGGACTGCTGGGAAAACGCGCCCACACCAAGCAGAGGTTCCGAGCAAGATTTTATGTCACTCTGTGTATACCTGTTCTATCTCTCATGCTTGGAATTCGAACTATTAGACAGTTTCGTATTTTATTCTACCGATATCAACTGAAATCTATAGCGAACAGTGGTTTTTTAGAAGTGGACGGTGTGTGTTTTAAGCTCCGTAAAACAGTTCAGTTCCCCAGAGTGGGGGAGACGACGTCAACACAAGTTCGTGGGGTAATAATGGATTTATGCAAGGAAGCGCTGGTTCCCAAGGTTTGACGCGGATAGCTAGCCGACCATTCCGTCAGATATACCAAGTACAACTGAGAGGACGCGATAAGAGCCGGTCACACTTGAGTTCGTTACAGGTAACTAACTTCCTTATATTTATTCGCGGCGTGGCTACCTTTTTTTCATCACTTGTTGCAGAGGGTGTATGTATTTGTTTGTACAGTACAGTACAGTACAGTACAGTACAGCTCTGTGAGGATGCACGGTAAATGTGTCATTAATTTATTAGTTAACTGTGTAAATACTACAATGTGAAATACAAAGTGTTTCAATTTGCACTCAATTTGAAAGAGTGATTAATATTTTCCAATCTCCTTTGCCTCTGTTGGCCTTTATAACTGAAACATGAATCATGTTTTGTTATCAGCCTATTTTTGGGGGCCATCTAGAAGTATCCATGGTTCCGTATCATACTTGTAATCTGACCCTGTGTTAAATAATAATAACTTGATTTAGTTGCTTGCTTTTTTCTGCCTGACATCAAATCGAAAAACATCTCTCGGAAAATTTAATTATTTGATCTCTCGACTTGCCCCTAAAGTCCCTCCAACAAAACTTCTTTGACAGGGTGCAGATGGCCTAGTTGAACAGCGCTGGGTTTGTTCTCTCCCCTCTTCTGGAATCCTGCCTCTCCTCTTCATGTCTGAATTGGGTTGGGCTTGATCCTCTGCTGCTCCAGCAGCCCGCCGTTTCCCGTCGCGTTCTGGCCGTCTCATCCCTGAATCACCTCCTCCGTCGGTGAATCTGTCCTTCCGCCGCAGGAGCCAACACCAAGCAGTCACTGTTTAACGTTGGTCCAAGGCTGGAAGCTGCTGTTTTTTGCTAGGAACCTGTCGGACCCAGTAGTGCATTCCCTTTTTTATCCCGCCGCTCCCTTTTTATTTCAACGCCTACCCGACATCAACCCTTTCTGCCGTCCGGGACGAGAAAGCAGACAGAAATTCATATAAAGCAACGGGAGACTGAGAATAGCCGCTGCCCAAATGAATTCCCTCCAGCAGTCGTGTCGACCAAAACATCAGGTCTTGATCTTGAAATGTTATCCAAGGTTCCAGAAAGGGTTTCAGGAGGTCAAACCCAACTCGTCAGAGCTTAGTTATCTCCTCTACTATGCGAGCACGCGACGAAGTAAGCTCCAGAAGGTTGGCGCATTTCTGGAGAAAAGAGCTGCTAGAGATGTTTGGAGGATGAAGCTCGGGTACGTTGGCTGTCTATAGAGCAATAATCTCAACTCAAGCCTTGTTCCCACTATTGATCCATTTTTCTTCTTCTCGTTTTAGAAATGTCCAAGTTACCCTCCAGATCCTCGCAGCGCTCATTGAGAAGGTCCCACGGGATCTACCCCTATATGCGCTCTCCGTTCTGACAATAATCGATACCGTTCTCCGCTCAAACGACCTGCCGATGGTGGAAGAGACGATAGAGACTTACGATGTCTTTTGCCGCCACCAGGATATGACGGTCCTTGGTGCGGATCAGGAATATGTGAACTTGTATAGAAATGTTGTTAGGAGTTATGCGCAGTTGGCTTCAGCCGACCACCTAGCTCCAGCAATGGCGGGATTGTCACTTCCCATGCGGCTGCGATGGCGAAACGCTGGTTTGCGGGCTATTAAAAGTATTGTCAGTTCTGAAGCTCTGGCCCTAGACGGGACCAAGCAGCTAAGCATCGTGATGCCGGTGATTTTGGACAATCTTTATTCCACCGAAAACCTACTTCCCTTGCAAGAAAAGGCTTTGTCTTCAGAAAAACTGGAACGGGAGCACGCACGGCGACGAAGAACAAGCATCGCGACTGTTCGGACCGCCGATACAACAGATGCAGACCCCATTACTGCTGCAGGGACTACTGCAGATGCAGACAAGTTGCAAGAAATGGAAGTCCGTGTTTTGGCATTGCGGTGCTTAGAGAAGATTTTCTCGGCGGGTGGTAATCGAGGCCAAATTCGTAATGCAACTACCCTGATCCTACAGTTTATCGTGAGCAAGCGGCCTCCGCGACATTGCTCTCTGGAACAACACCCGGATTCCGTTGGTGCTGGTGGCAGCTGGGCTACGAATTTGATGGAAGTAATCGCCAAGTGGTCACCAGTGCAGGACCGCTTCATCATTCTCGTCGCAACCATGGAGCAACTCGTCAGCACCCGCATGGTTGATGATAAATTAGAATCGCAGTTGATCCTAGCATCGATGATGGACTGGTTACTCAGTTCTCCTAACAATCTTATTGGGCTGAGTGTGATGGACGTCCTTATCAGCTTACTTCAACGCTTGCTTCTCCTTTTGCAGCTTGGGGGTCGATCGATGAAATTGGTACACCACCGCGCACCTTCTGGATATGTCAATAATCTTCCAGAAGTCGGAGAGGCCAGTGAAGAGCCGCCCGGGGAGCCGAATGGCGATAATGTACAATCTACGGAGGGCACCCAAACCACCATCCCTTGGGACGCGCGCCAGGAATTGGTGGAGCTCCTACAAAAGTGCATCGGGTCTTTGGCTACGCATATTTATTACGCTGATCAGGTTTCCGACATGATACGTACGGTTATTACGCGACTAAGGCCGTCTCCAGCATCCGAACTTTCGAACAATGAAGCTGAAGGCGTTGCAAATAATGCCGTTGACAGCTCGGAAGATGTAGGTGGGGATGCGTACTTTTCTTTCCCGGCCGCTCGAATTGTAGCTTTGAGATGCATCAAGAGCGTCTTGCTGGCCAATCTGCGCAAGTCTATGACCGCAGCTGGAGCTGATTCGCGAAGTCGAGTCAACATATGGGTATGGGAGGGCACCCAGTGGCTTCTGCGAGACCCGGACCGCGAGGTTGCACATACCTACGTTGATGCATTTCTTTCCTGGTTGCAACTAGAAACTACGAAGGATGACCTGCGGGCGACATTGGAAACGAAACGAACGTCCAGAATTGGTGCTAGGCGTGATATTTCTGACCCATCCGACAAATTGACGAGGAAAGTCGTTTCGACAGTATCTCAGCGGGACAAGGATGCTGCCATAGCTACGTCTAATTTTCTTCAGCTCCTCCACTTGACGGTTTACGATATTGCAACTGAATCTGCTGAGGTGGAATCCGATATAATGCTTTTACACCTTCTGTTGGCTAATCTAGTGGAAAATATGGGGGTCAATGCCGCCAAATATGGACTACCTATGATAATGAGATTGCAGGATGACTTTTTATCCAACGATGAGTCAATTTCGCCAGCTGCTAGACTCAACGTTTCTAGTTTAATTCATGGATATCTCTGGGCATTGGTTGAAAAATTCGACCTCGAGACAACGAAAGTTGGCGATAATATCCTTGGCGAAATTTCCAGGCGGAAGAAGAGAGGCATCTGGTTTGAAAAAATTCAGCTCCCACCTCGACAGCTAAATTACATTGTTCCTTCTGCCCAACCGATTTCCAAGCATAATGTTCAATTGCAACTCGACTGGCGCATGTACTCACCGTTCATTGGCCTATCTGAGCTTGTTGACCAAATCGAAAATAACTACAATACCGTCGTTAAGTCGCCCGCAACCAGCCCAGCCAGTTCTCCTGGCCGTGTGTTTTCGATGCCAGTTCTCGGGCAGGGAAGCGCTGCGCCAGGGAGAGTTCCACCAGAAGAACGACTTCCAACGATTGTAAAGGAGCGCATGGTAACGCCATGGTCGAAGGAGGAATGTCTGGCTGCTATGGCTACAGAAAAAGCGCAGTCATCATCGATTAGTGGTTCTAGAACTGGTACTTCGGGAGCACGCAATTATTTTGCGGTAAATGGATACAAGAATGGGAATGCGTCCCCTCCCAAGGCCGAAACTATACCGGCTCACCCACCCCAACAGCATGAGGATACGCGTCTTTCCAGCCTTCCCGAAGCTACGGGCGGGTTGAATGGTCTACAGAAACTTCGCCGCCAGAGTATTCCAACAGAATCTCGCACATCGGTTGCAAGTTCGAGTCGTGATTCGACGGTAAAAGTCAACGAGCTTCGGCGGGTTTTGTCGGTAGTGAACAGCAGCAATGTCCGCCAGTCGAGTCCTCTTCGCGGCCGCCAGAGCTTATCTAGGGGGATTGAAAGTGGTGCATCGAGCGCAGAAAGTATGCTCAGCGATACATTTTCTACATCCGATATTGACGGTATGACCGGTGCTGGTTCTTCATCAATTAGGCCTCACTCCCGGCGAGAGGGGTCGGAAACTCCAAAGGCGTCCGCTTCCAACCAAACCAACGGCATAGGTGGCGAAAAGAAAGATGACAAGAAAGACCTTGACTCATTAAACCGGAAGATTTCCAACGACATCCCACCTGTCCCTCCCTTACCTGCTGCCCTTGTACTACCGGGCAGGTTCCCGACTGATTCCTCAAGTGCATCGCCATCACACTCACCAAGTGCCCTCGACCGCCCCTCAACAGCCCCATCTCAGCCTCGTGCCAGACCAGCAACGAAAGGTCAACATATTGTCAGCGTTACACCACGACAAAGCAGATCGTTGACTAGGCAGAAGTCGCGATCAAAACAACTACACACTCCTAGCGTCCCCAACCTCTCTGGGTATGCTGATGATGCCGGTCAGATTGTTTCCACCAGTGACGACAGGCCGTTCTCCTCCCGTGGACCTAGATCTATCAGCCTGGGCCGTCGCGTTGACATGGAAAAGTTGCTTGAAGGTCTAATAGACGGTCCTGAAGGGGATCAGGGGGCAAATGGCTTATTATCTCAAGCCCACCCACCGTATTCCTCTCATTCCAAGCCATCTAGCGAACAACCATATCTTATGGATGATAACGGCTACTACCGTGGCAACAGAAATCGGGATTCGTCCCAAGTTCGCAGTATTGGTAGGGTGGGAAGCGGAACTAGGGGAAACATAGCGCGACCGCCTTATTAGACTAGCTGACCCTTTCTATCAGCTAGGACTGTTTATCTTCTCTTCACCCCTGGGCTTGTTCCTCATAGTTTCTATTTTTGGGCATTAATTTTTGCGCCTCTTCCTTCCAGGCCCTCCCGTTGTTTTCGTCCCCTTTTTAATTATTTTGTCTTTATTTCTTGACAGACTAGTCATCATCATGCATATTTTTTCCTTTAGGGAGTTTGAGGTTTTACCTATTCCTTCATCCAAGCCTTCCTTTTATTTTCATTTCTTTTGTTTTCCTATATCTCGATCATTTTAACTTCGCGTAGTCCTCCAATTCTTGTAAACCATAGGTTCCTTCTCGTTACATGCTTCTTTTTCTGCATCCTTCTTGGCCTTTTTTTCCCAATTTTTTTCCTTTTATTTTTCTTTTGCGGTTAACTATACCAACATACCCCCCCTTTTTTTTTTTTAAATTGTACAGTACTAAGCGCTTCCATGTTTGTGTGTATATAATATTACTGATGTAGTCAGTTTTATTACCAAATCTATCCTTGCCAGGCTGATTTCTCTTTGTTCCCAACCCCACTCCCTCCACCACACACAGCCTTTCTGGACCTACTTTCATTCTTACAAAAAGGTTTCTATGGCGCTGACCGATAGCTTTTATGGATTTATATAGATGGTATAGGGTAGATAATAATTTAGTATCTAAAATTTTCATATTTGCTCAAATGGCCGACTCACCACACCTGTCTTGTCTGGTAGTCTACCCGCTGTAACTGCTCGATTTTTAGAGAACCCCAGGATTATATGATCTCCGTCAATTCTTAAACGCTCCATTGCACAACATATCCTCATACTCATAATCAGGTTGAAACTCGCGATACAAATACTCCGGGTCACTCTCCACCTTGAAATTATACGCCGCCTCCTCATCCGAAATCAGAACCTTCTTGCACCCGTTCGCAGCAGCTGCCTCCGCCAGCAACTGCACCCGACAACTCCGCTCCATCAACCCAAACAAATACGCCGCCTCATCCACCGTGCCCCCAACCGTCAACAGCCCATGATTCATCAAAATACACCCCTTCCCATTCCCCAAGGCCTTGGCAATCAAATCCCCTTCCTCCGCGGCCAACACCACCCCGCCGTACGATTCATACACGCTATGCGCCCCGAAAAACTTGCACGCGTCCTGATTCAGCATCTCCAGCGGGCGCGCAAATGATGACCACGCCTTCCCGTAGATGGTATGCGCATGGCAGACGGCATGCACGTCCTCGCGCGCCTTGTGCACGGCGGCGTGGATGAGGAAGCCGGCAGCGTTGGCGGGCCGCGAGCGATTACCACCAATTACGGTCCCGTTGAGATCGACGAGGATCATGTCGCTGGCTTTTAACATGCCGAAGTGCACGGCTAGGGGGTTCGTCCAGAAGGCGTTGGCGTGCTCGGGGTCCCGGACGCTGATGTGGCCGGACAGACCTTCTGTGTAGCCGTGGCGGGCCCAGATGCGGAAGGCACCTGCCATGTGCTCGAGTTGCCATTGGCGTTTCAGCTCGTGGGAGGTGAAGCTGGGGATTCCTGCGCGAGTGGGTTGATTAGGTTTTTGTTGATATAAATATGTATGCACCATTGCGCCCCCCCCGCCCGGGGGGGGAGGGGGGAGGAGGAGCGGATATCATTTGAATAGTCGAAAGATATAAGGATTACCTGGAAGGGCGATTCCGCCATGTGAGATAGCCTGGAGGGCTGTTAAGCCTTCACCCCCGTGAACATGTTGAGTCTTTTTCTGGTCTTCTGGAGACTTTGCAACGGGGTTGTTCACGGGAACGGTGATTTCTGTAATGGCGGTGGGGCTCATATTGGGCTTTCTTTTTATGAGCTTTTTGATCGAGGTATAAGAATGCAAGCAGCGTCTTTCTGCTTTGGTGTTATGTTTCTCAAAGACTCAACGATGTAGCAATTGAGTCAGCCGGCTTTGTATGAAAGAAGTTGCCAGTTCTCACTGAAGTTTCAGCTATTTAGGTCAAAAATAAATATCTATCATCAACAAATAGTGCATCTATCGCGACTCAAGTTTTGCTTGGATTCTTCGATTACACATAGATGTTGACCAGTAGTTAATGCACAGTACATGTACATACTACAATTGCGTAACAAGGGCGTGGCAAGGTGTGGGGAATGCGGGGTGGATATTGCAACTTGAATATTTAACTAACCCGAGGAATGTGGGAACATGCAAATCAAATCACTGAGCTTCAGAGTGGCAGACAGATTGGAACTGGAAGGCTGAGTTCATACAGAATTAACGAGAAGAGTAGTTATCGAATAACTATCCAGCTGAAAGGTTTTGTAGTGTTTGACCAATATCAGAACGAAACCGAGTCGCGCACGAGTTCTCCTCAACAACGAAGATGGAAAGTCAGGAACAGGAGAACCTCTTTACCTGATTAATGGATTGAACTTCCTGTCTTCTCTGGTCTCCGCAAGCCTAACTTCCAAGAGCGAGAGGCTACCTAAGGACATATACAATGACGGGCTTGCCTGCACCGGCTCCCCCAATTCTCGCCTCCACGCTGCTAGATTCGTCATTTCAGAGGAGTAATGACAATAGGCATTCTGGTCAAGAGGAGCCTGGAAGGGTGGAGAGTGCTTTATGGGACCTAACTAGGGACATAGAAGAAGGGATCTCACTCACGCCGAACAAGTCTGTTCTGAGCTGTGGCATGGTCATTGGGATATCAGGGCTCCAGCCCGCAGCTGTGAACGGTTCGCGAGAGGGGGTAGGAGACGATATCAGACCCTGGGTTAATGAAGTTGGTGACCTATTTCCTTCCGGCCTTGTTCCTCTTTAAAATTTCTTTTGGCTAGACACAATAGAGCTATCAATCACCCTGTGATCCGGAACATGCCATGCTATCTACATCAGAGAAGCTAACAACTACCCTAGTTTTGGCAACATATCCTGACCACTCTACTTTGCAAATATCCGACCCCTCAAGCTTTCCCAAGGGCATTTGTGATACAATATTTCGACTCACGGCCCCTGTCGCCTCATGTCTTATACTCTTCCCTGCAGCAGCGACTGCCAGACCTCGCACCAGAAGACATCGAATCCATCCTGGAGAATATCCAAACTCGCCGTGTCTATGACTTCGACGAACTGCTCGAGGCTGTATCTCAGATATCAGATATCCTATTTGAACTCCAGCAACGGCAAAAAACGCACCCTGAAAAGAAAGAAAAGGGGCACAGCTACTCCGCACCGGTCCTCCTCCTTATCGAAGGTATAGACCAATCACTCGAAGAGATCATTCGCAGATCCAACCCCGTAGCCGGCCACGCCCGCCTCATCCCATTACTACGGACGCTGACTGTTCTCTCACGAACCTACGCTTCTTTCCTATCTGTTATCATTGTTAATTCTATCGCGTTGCCACATATTCGCTCAGCAGCCTCCTCAGCCCAAACGGCCACTCTTACTCCAGCACCACACGACACAGATGCTGGCCAGCAACCACCTCGCCAGCCAGCAAGTGGTCAGCTGCAACAACAGCGACAATATTCCCCAGAGGTCGCTGTGCGTTCTATTTTTGCCAACATCCCGAGGGGTGTGGGCCGTCTCTCGAAAGCGTCACCAACCCCTTACTACTTCTCTGTTCTAGCACGCTCGCTCGACCAAGGCTGTGATGTGCATCTCCTAGTTTCCCAAATCCAGGAGAAAATGGTTATCGAGGTGGCGAAGCATAGGGTTGGGGCCGAAGTTGGACGGTGGTGTGATTTATGAAGATCTGGACTGGAAAAGAAATAAAGACATGTGTCGACACTTTTATGAGAAAATTAATACATGAACCCCCCTCTTATGACAAAACCAAGAAAAGAACTATTATTAAGGGCGCGATTTTGTACCTTGTGGGTAAAAGGCCGCTAAGATATATCTCTGCATCCACCAGGTGGAGTAGTTAGCTAAGATCGCGTCAGAAATAGTTACAGTTCTATCGAGAACTGCATGACCCTTTACCTTCCAACCAGCGCAACAGCTATAGTATATATAACACTATTGAATATACTGCTCATATATATAAAAGCTGGTTTATAAAAAATTCTTCATATACTTAATCTATTTTTCTTATGTGATTGTTGTTATATTTGATTATAAACATACAAAATGATGGGAAGATGGCTGACTCAGTTATTATAACTAGATTACATTCCTCCGTGCCTAAAAACTATTTATATCCGCAAATCCTACCTTTTCCGTACCCTGCTAGGAGGTTCACGGATGGAGCATCAATGTGTCTATCATGGGGGCTGAAGCGGCCATGGAGAGTTATAGGCATTATTCTATCATCCCCCCCCCCATTTTTTTTTTTTTTTTTTTTAATTTCTCTCATTGATCGTCGCTCTTTAACAATCAAATGATATAAATCGCCTTGGTTTTTCTGGACAGCTGAATGCTCCAAGCAACAACATATCAACACCGTCTATGCGGCCTTGTTCATAACCAAACTGCTATTTTCTATACGCTTATTTTTAGCCGTGAAAACGAAATTTGAACTAGAAAATGCGATCCCTAATACACACAATATGCGCTTTTCTCTGCGTTCTCATAGCAGTCCCCCTCGTCTTCGGTTCTCCAGTTGAGCTTGCAGTTGGCGGGCGAGTCGGAAAAAGGAGACCTACATACGCCATTGCTCACATGGTCCTGGACAGAAGGGGTCTCAGAGATGCCATCGCACATGGCGCCAATTCGGTCGAGGTCGACATTGCCGCGTACAAAGAAGGGTGGTGGGCAGACCATGACATCCGGAGCAAGTCATGGGGCGACTCGCTGGAGGTTATGTTCAAAGCGATCGCCAAAGAGAACAAGCGCATCGCATTCGTCTGGCTGGACCTCAAGACCCCGAACATGTGCTCTGGAAAATCCTGCAACAAGGACGTGTTGGATCCCAGCAAGTGCAAGAGCAGCCAGAAATGCTCCATGCAGTCGCTACAGAAACTGGCGCAGAAATACCTGCAGCCTGCGGGTGTGCGCATTCTCTACGGCTTCTACGGTGCCGGCGCGACCGATTCTGCCGGTTTCAATTACATTCAAGGCAACCTGAAGGATGGCGAGGCGGTATGTCTGAGCGGTGAGGTGGACAAAGTTTTGAACGTCTACAAGAAGAAGGGGAGCGGAGTAAAACCTGCGCAGAGGGTAATGGATTATGGCTATACGGAACTTCACAAGGGATTTGGAAATTGTACAGAGGATGGACACAAGACTTGCACTAGGTTGAGGAATGGAGCGAAGGCTCGGCAGGAGGGTCTTGTCCGGAGAGTCTTTGGCTGGACTAGCCAGATCGGCGACAGCAAGCGTGTGGCATCTATGTTGGACAAAGCGCATGTTGATGGCATTATATATGGCTTCGGGGTAACGAGATATTATCATCATAAAGAGAGCGAGTTGGCTGCGAGAGATATCAACCGGCACGTCAAAAAGAGCTTGGATCGATACATGGCCACTGGTAGCGACAAGCCTTGGTGATGGGTATTGCCGGTGGTATTTTGCGTTTGTTCTTGTTTACGGTATGTCCCTTTCTGTTTCTTAATTCTTTTTTGCAATGTTAAATAAACTATTGCTTCAGTTGTTTTGTGGAGCTTTCTATTATTTCGGTACCGCACGTTGCTTACTTGCTATTCAATGATTCAGGCGTCACGAATTCGATCCAATTCTCGTCAAGCTCAACGCGCACCTTTTCGTCTGGTAGTCAATAGAGACCTGCTGGCTCATTATATTCCGCAGCCATAGCAGGAGGGTGTTGTTATCAGTAGACTGACCATTGGAGAACTGGCACACAAAGTTGATCATCGAACCCTCTCGCCTTCGCCAACCCCTGAAGGACCTAGTGAGAAGCAAAAGCAATATTGATTCTCCAGCCACCTCAACCACACAGGATACGAATATAAACAACCGAATCATCAGATAGCGGCGTCGGCATCATCTTCGGGAGAAACGGTGTCTAGAAATCTTGCGCCTTATTTCATCATCCCTAAGAATAAATGCAATTTAATTCATAGAGACTTGATTTCCAACATTATCCTCCGACCGTAGTCTTCCCGTCCACATCCTTCTTATTTCCAGAGGTAGAGGTCACAGCGGTAGCGGCCGGCGTAGCAGGGACATTGGCAGGATTCCCACTATCCTTATCTCCAACGACCCGCAAAACCATCCGACCAATAACATCCTTAGTATCGTTTTCACATTTCTCCAGCTCCTCCCTCGCAACCCTTTGCTCGTGTTGCATGTCTTGCTGCTGTACCTTAACCCACTGTCTATGCCTCTCACAGCGTTTCTTGAGACAAACGCCGCGAGCGATCCTATCAACAGTGTTACGGTTCCCGTCGACATCTTGCATCTCAACATCCCCGCCACCATCATTTCCGGAATCAGCAGCTTCAAGAACCCCAGACCGAAGCGCTTTCTTTCCCACTTCTGACCATCTCCACTCATTGAACTCGTCATCAGACCATGAAAGGCGAGAATCATACCCGCAGATATCTTTCCAAGCGGACGTGCTGCTTTTGGGGTCCGCCTGGCGAAGGTGCTCAAGGATTGTTTTTGCGCGTTGGCGAATCATAGTAAGGAAAGTGTCGCGGTCTTGGAGCATTTCGAGCTGGTTGCGGAGTTCTGTTCGTTTCCTACGGAGGTTGTGGAGATGCTGGCGTTCATTGGTTGTGAACTGGATGTGACGAGTATCGAGATCCAGGTCGATGTGATCAAGGTCTTGAGGCGCTATGTTGGCTTTGGATTCAGACAATGAATCTTCTCCAGGAATGTCACTCGATGATGTTAGGCTTTTGGCCACAGATGGAGGTAGGATGTTGTCGCCCAGTTCACGAAAATCCAGTGCAGATTTCACTCCCGTGACGACAGCTTTCAGGTCATTCTTAGTAAGAACACCACCTCTACTGCCAAGGTCTTCGGTTTGCCCACTGTCCGCTTCGGTTTCGTCTAATTCGATGTCATCCTCGTCCTCTTCATCCTCTTCATTGGGATTTGATGTGCCGAGTTCCGGCTGGCCTACTTCTGCTTCTGTATTATCACGATGAACTCCTTTTTGAAAGCGTTTTCCAACGGTTACTGATGATCCTCGCGAACGACTGTTCGAAGCTGACATCTTCGCAGCAGATGCAAGTCCAGCGGCCGATCCCTGTTTTGAGAGCGAAGCTTTCTGCCGCATAAACTCTCGGCCATGTTCGTCACTGCAATATTTGCTGGGGACCATACCCCCTGAAATACGGGCTGGTCGTCGACAGCCTGGGAGACGACACATCCGCTTCCAAGTCGTATGGGTTCCATTTTTTGATTCGCAGGTAGGACCTATGGATGTCAGCTATGGCCCACAAATGGGATGGAAACAACACGGGTGAAGTACTTACAAATATATTTATCAATCAGATCAGCATCTTCTTGTTTGATCTTGACACACTTCCCATGGAACCAATCCTCACATCCGCCATCACAACCAATCATCCAAGTATGATTGTCAGGTTTACGACAAATACAAAACAGCTCCGACGGATCTTCAACTTCATCGACGTCATCCTCCTCTTCCTGAGGTTCGGTTGCTTTTGCTGCCTTTTTACTTTCCGGTGCTGGAGAACCCGCAACGGACAACGAACTCTGTTTCCGATTCTTCGCAGCTGGAGCCTTGCTGGCACGCGATGATACCGGTGTTGCTGATCGCCGAAGCGGCGAAGCCGTACCATCTACTCTTTCAGTGTCATTTGGATTCAACTTGCGCTTCTTAGTAGTAGGTTTTTTGGTAGAAGTTCCCTTTTTGGTGGAGGACGCCGGTCTTTTCTTCGTGCTTGGGTCAGGACTAGGACCTGCGGCCTTGGTTGATGTTGCCGGAGACGAACGCTCCGTGGATGAAGCGCGGGATATGGATTCACGTTTAAGGTCTGTAATCTTCCTGGGTGTCCATGGCTCTTTCGTCTGCACTGGGATATCAGCTGTCGAACTGCTAGGGATAGATTCTAAGGTTGGAGTGGGCGGCTCAGTTTTGATATCAGGTTTCAACTCGAGTAGATTACTTGTAGCGGAATGGCTGACAGAAATATCGTAAAGATCGCGCCAAAACGCATCTGGTATCGATACGCCACCGTCAGAGGAGACGTCGGCGGAATCAAGGCATCGGATTTTACTATGAATAGTTTTGGCTCGATCCCAACCGAAGTAGCCAGCATTATACCACCCAACAAGCCCGACGATTGTATCGTTATCTACGATTATATTAGCGGGAGCCATATTATTATTGGTAAAAGCTAGAGTCTGGTTCGAAGCGGAGGCAGATCCGAAGAGGATGTCGTATTCCGCCTGCTGCAACCGGTGTTCCTCTTTTGGCTTGCTTCCCTTGACAACGTAGGACGGACTACTTCGACCATCATTGGCACTGTCAATTTTTCGTATTATGTTTCGCGCTTGTCTCTTGAAGCTTTCCTTTTGTTGTCTGGTAAGGTAAGGCCATGCGACTTCCAATGAAACCCCCGGGATGCGAGACTGAACAAGCACGTCGCGACCCTTAATTTTGGTTCTGAGATATATCTGTGGTAATTGGATATCTGGAAGGATATTCTCTGCTACCTTGATAGCCTGGGCTTCGTTTTCATCTGCGATGCTGTAGTCCCCGGTCGACTCTGTAGAAATGTGGTCACTTTTCACAATCACACTCCCCAATGCAAATGTATCTCTCTTGCCAGCTGCTGGGATGCTGATACGCGTCTTCTCGTCGCATTTGGCCAGAACAGCTTCCCAGTAGCGGAGCGACTCGTCATTATTAGAGTTGCAGTGAACTGGGTCGGGTTTGAAATCGCTAATGCCTGGGCGGTAACGGCCGCAGTGAGGATGTCGAGCTAGAAATCGGTCCGATTGTGGTAATTTTTCCGCGTTTGTCTCATAAGGATTGACATCTAGGTCTGTAAACGTGCTTGCCACCGTTCTTGGAGGGGATCCATCTGCGTCAATATCCATACCGCTTTTAACGTAGGTAGCTGGTATTACGAAGCCGCTGCTTTCTGCGAACGATATCTAAGTGACTGACAGTGGCGGAATTTCTCGAAGGGCAGCACGTGGGATGATGGAGAGGGGCCAGCTCTGTCTAACAGGATTCGTTTATTTTGTAAAGAGGGTGAACGCGGAACATGGCAATGCTGTTCTAGGGTGCGGGAAAGCGAAATGTTGGGTTGTGAATTTATTGGAGGGAGAAGGAGGTCAAGGGAAGGTTCGACGCGACTTGTGCAGCTCTGGAGGCGCTTGACTTCTGGCGTCAAGTATAATGGCTTAGACGCCTTGAGTAGCAATATTAAATCCTAGCACTCTGAACAGCTTTGTATGCTGAGAAAGCCCGGGTGGATGTGGATGTACACAGAGAGTTGGTCTGCGCAGCTGGAGGACTGGGTATGGTTGGCATCGGAAGGATAGAAGCTTGTTCGAGTTCGTGTTCGAGTTCAAGTACATAGAGTAGATAGTATTCTATTGAGGACAACGACAGAGAGCTGCAGAAGGAAGCCGTTGACCTGAGGCGAGCGGAGTGTCTGGGTGTGAAGCTCTGTCTGGCGCAGGATTGATCGCGGAGCAGGTCTGAGAGCTCTCACGGCGGTCGCTTATTTAACTTGCCTGGCGGCAGCGCTTTTCGTGGGCTGGAGCCCCTCTCCCATCAGTGCACACTGATGGTGATTGAGCTCTTTTGCCCCAGTGGCCTAATAGCAAACTCATGAGACACAAAAATGCGGGATGTAAAAAGATATAGAACCGAATAAGAGAAAATTGATTAATTTAATTGTCCATGAGTGTGCTACGGATTACCACTATCGGGAACGCTTTCACCATGGTTGCTAAATCCGCCGTTCTCTTCCTGCGCTCATCGGCCGCCATAAATAGACCGTTATTTATACACCCAAGTCGCCAGACCAGTCAAATCAGACCTGAGGACTTTTGGAATCGCTGGGTAGCAGGGGGGTGCGGTCAAGCATGTCCGCTTTTTGATGCATCAATTAACCAAATGGACAAATTTGATCGAGTTTCCAAGAGGTAGATAGTAGGGGTGGGATATCTAAGTTATTCGTATCATGATACTATCCTCTAGCATGGAACGTCAAATGCTGCTATGATCTCCATCGCACCGCTCGCAGGTAGTTAATTCATTCTTTGATTTTTACTGCTAATTGTTGTTGCGTCCCATCTAGCCTTCCCGCAGGCTCTGTTCCGCTCTGTTCTAAATAGAACATCACGAAGAACATATATCCGTTCCATCCCTTCTTTCCTTGAATTTTATCCAAATGACAGCCAACTACATCACCACATTTGATAATCACAATCATGGTTGCCATGTCCGAACCTGCGAAGGAGCCGTCACGTTCTGCCGCTCCTCCCTCAGCACGTCCCTCCAATTTCGCAATGCGATATAAGTTTATCGATGCATCTACAAGCAGTCCTAAAAGCTTGGCTAGTGTCAAGTGTCATGTCATGTTAGAATGTGCGCGCCAAAAAAAATGGCAAGAGCAACAACAACCAGACACTGATGGTGAAGGCGATGCGGATATCGACACCAGTGGGGAAGACAAACCCCAGCGCGGAGAGCGGCATGTAAGACGTGCCAGAGCACGAAGGCAAGCCCCAAGTGAGCAGAAAGGGAAAGGGAGCGTTGGACATGCGAGGGGTCTTAGCGATGGCGGAGAGAATCGTCTGTTGATACACCCGGATTTTTAGTTGACGCAACTGCCGTTGCCAGACCATAACACATACGGGGAATACCAGGACTTAGAAATCGCGGATCAAGTTGGACTGGGATTTGGTGCTGATTATTTCGATAAACGGGGAATATCTTCTTCATGGAGCCCATTCGCGGGTCACAGACCTTGGGAATCGCCTCCTTTTGGCCTGGGCATGTGGGAGACAAGTATCAGTCTCAGGCAAATGATCCCAGATTTCAAAGCAATAAGTTACCGGATCGTCCGAATCGTGTAGTTTGTCTACATGGTCCTCTTCAAACTCTGCGTCACCTACTCCGCAGACGCAGCTAAGCGCCGCGCGAACTGATCCATTTGATAGTTTGCCAATTTCGCTTACGAAGAAGGGAAGATGTTGTTCGATTTCTACGCTAACATCATGCCTTCATGTTCGTACGGTTTCCATACAAGGTCACCAAATGCTCACAATTGGTATTTGCAGGTGTTCATACCAGTAGCTATGAAAGCAGATCTTACATTCCAGAATACTATTCTCGTTCATGCTGCAAATACACAAGCGTGGGTAAAGGGGTTGTCTGAGAAGCGCGCGGCTCTTGTTCACTGTGCATGTGGAATAGAGATGTTGTGAAAGAATTTTGAGAAGCATCTCATAGATGTTTCGGATGCCGCCATCTCTGCAACGCTCAGTTGCGCTGCAGTGGAAGATTTTGACTCTCGTCCGGAGCGGAAACCAATCAGTTGGATTCATATGCGTGCCGCAATGCAGAAGATCCGTGCCAGGGGAGGACCAGCTGCATTCCAACAAAATCAGAGAATGGCTATGTTAATTAATTGGCAAGATTATATCCTCGCAGGTTACGAAACGAAAGAACCATCGTTTTTCTACGAGGATACCCCTGCAAACATGCGGAGCTCTTCGAGTCAAATGGTAAGTATTGGAAATCAATCATTTATTTACACGCCTTAACGAAATCCGCTCTCAATGCGAGGAATTTATTTCCTTCCTCCGCCGTTGCGAACAGCTCTCCCTCACCCAAACATATTCCCGCTGAGCCCTTAATCCTACAATTCCAAGCTGATATTCAGCATTTCAACCCGGAATCCGCTACTCAATCCCAGGTGAAAGAAAACCGATCATATCCTTCCTAAATGACCTACAACGCAAACTTCTAACCAGCGAAGTCGATGTCAGCACCTCTGTTGAAGCCCTTCTACAAACCCTTCTTGAATGCGATGACGCGTTTGGCTTAGTGATGGTTATGAGCCCCTAGTTTTCTCATCGCAGGAAACAGGAACGCCCGCGGCTGAACCTGTTCCCTCCGAACGCCCTTGGTTTGTTGGGAGAATGCTTAAGATCGCGAAACGGCTTGGGAGGCCATCTTGGGAACAACTAAATGACTCTCTTTTATCCTTCCTCACGCTGACGGCGGAGGCACCAATGCTCCCGTCGTGGGAAAACGACTTGAGACATGAGATTCTCACAGCTCCCCTAACAAGCTATATTATGCCCCTATTACTGTGACTGACTGGGCTCTGGGCTCTCGTATATAACATCACAAATTATGACTTGTGATAATGATAATTTTTTGATGAATAAATAGCACGCTTGTATAATCGTTAAACTATATATATCCAGGCTTTTCCTTTCCCGTTTATCTTCAATGATCTAAATCATGGTCGTATGGCACCAAGCATAGTTTCTAAGGGCTGCTTGTTGGACGTAGGTCTGTTACGACTACGTTACCATTTTGATCTTCTCATTTTCTGACTTGCTTTTCATATCAATTGAACTCGTCAATTGTCACTAGCTAGAGCCAGGGCGGATACCTATATAGCCAGATTGTTTTCTTTACCCTTCCTTTTGCAGGCTAAGATGTACTGGACAAAGGCTTTTCCTCTGGAATTTCAGATTAGAGCGTTGCTGACGAAAGGTATGAGGCTCAAAAATGTCGTGTGTCCACTGTGAGGAGGAGTATACTTCAACTCTCCATTCACTCTACGCAATCAACGACAACGGCCCCTACAAAAGCCACCAGATGACATGGAGATATCCAAAGAGGAATGATTAGCGTCTCTCTTAAAATATGTCGTCAACAACACAGTAACCAGCATTGATTCTTCTTAACGGCTGGCAAAATCGGCTAGAGGTAGGGTTAAACTGCAATACATACCTATTGAATACCCCCTAGCTGCTATGGTTTTAACCACGCTTTCGTGCATCGCGAGGTTCGGAGTGTTATCGTCGTCGGTCGTTGTGCTTGGCCTCGGGGCCACGTTTATTCAAAACAGCGCATCTAGTGTGGAGTTCCTGATATACATCGAGGTTTTGTCAGCTCTGACCATCCTGGGATCGATGGTACCGCCATACCCAAACTTTGTGTATGATCTGGTTTGGACACTGGCCTGGTCTGTGGCTGCTGCGTTCGCCATGGTAGTTCAAGTTTGTTATGCCATCCCCCTTTCTTGTGTCGACTTTGCAGTAGTGAACACTGGCTCAACAGTCTTATTTCTAGTTCTTTGAATCAGATTGCTATGGTTTCCGACCTGATGGTAAGATAGGGTGCGCCCCTTACAAAGCTTCCACAGCATTTTCATTCTTGTGCATGCTCGCGTGGCTGGCAAGTGCGCTTTTTGTAAGTGTGGCCATTCCCTCTGCTCTGTGTCGCCTCGCTTCGTATTTCATATCAAGGAGGCAAATTACTGAGCACATTTCCATTCACAGGGAGCCCTATGTATTGTCGATGCTAAATTTGATATCCGGTCCCTCGCAAATCGCCTGTAAGTCCCCTAAGCCGAGGAATGGGATGGGAGATAAAACTGAAGCAAGGTCCAGCAGGGTCAATGTTGGAGCAAGAGGTCAAGAAAAAGAAGTGAAAAGAAAAGATGAAGAAAGTAAAAGCGAAGGATCGAATGAAGCGATAAAAGATGTACCACCAGGGGAAGGGCGAAAGGAGACAAAGAAAATAAAGTGAGCTTTTTTGACAATCCCCAAGGTGAGCTAGGCCATCTAACTAAACTTTTGCAAAAGGGGTTTTGGAAATTCTCACATTTCCTCGCATCTTGTCAGCTATTGTATTCTTGGAGTGGTGCTCATGGCCATGGGGTCTGCAGTTATGTAGGTCTTGATAAATCCAGATATGGACTTGTTCTCACCACAAGCTAGGAACAAACTGACAGATTGTACAGGCTCGTATGGGGCGCTCCAGCATTCGGACGATATATCATATATAGAACCCCAATTCCCGACTATAGCGTCACCCTTACAAATCCAACCAACAATAGCATATCCTTTGCGATCTCAACCAACATTCGAGTCCCGGATAGGTTCAAAATCTCTGTCGATCCAATGCATGCGGATTTCTTCCTCCCGGACAGTCAGCTTTATACAGTTCCACTTGCGACAGTCGATCTTGCAAAAATGGTATTTCACTCTAATGAGCGAATAGAGCTTGTAAACCAAACGTTAAAGTTCGGAAATCTGAATGAATTTGCGAAGCTGGTTGAACAGGTCGTGTATCAGCCAACATTCAGAGTAGTTGGTCAGACACGCGCAAAAATACGCCTTCCCCCGATTCCGGCAACATGGATTGATATCGATGGGGCTATTGAATTACCGGGTTAGATTAGTCTCCCCCGCTCTTGCTATTTCTTTCGTCATGGCTCTGATTCCTTATTGTTTTTCCCTCGGGTAACCGCTCATAGTGAGAAAGCATTCGACAACTTTGCTCAAATCGATATAAGAGATGTCAGAGTACATCTTCCTGATGCTGAAGGCTACAATATGGTAGCCGAAATGGTCATGATCAACGTAACCCCAGTTTACCTAACTCTGGTAGAAATTTACAATATCCACTCCCGATATTCTTAATGATCTAAGTGCTGACATTCGGGAAAATCAAAAACAGGGCGATATGTATTTGCAGATATTGATTGGCGATGTCCAGATAGGACAGGCCTTCGTGACGCTCAATGGCATCATACCCGGCAACAATACCCTTCTCGTTAAGGGAATTATGGATTATGGGAATATCCAAAAGAATATAATGTCTATACTAAAAACGGAGGCCCCCTATCTTGAACGGGGACTGTTTATGGCGTCTGCAGTGGTTGAATCCGTTGTGAATGAGGGCCAGCACCTGAACTATTGGGAACAATCGTTTCAATCGATCAAAGTGTCCGCCACAACGCCAATCAAGGCCCTTTTCAGCAGCATCATAGGCAACGGTTTTGAATCAGCGCCCATAGAGATTCCCGGCAGTGGCAGGGGTGGTGGGGACGCAATCGCAAGCCTTGCTGATAAGGTCCTTAAGACAATCAATGATCTCTCAGCAAGCAACCATATCAATATATGGAATCAGAGGGGAGGGCCTCCAATCCAGTTGGGGATTTCATCGCAGTCTGGATCTCAATAGAATTTGACAGGTTTTTCGCGACAGCCGATAAGAATCTATGAAAATATGTGGGATAATTCCGAATCGAATTGAACAAATTTGATCATTGAGAATCGACCGAAGCTAATCGCCCGTGTTCCCTGGCTCAGGCCGTGGCCGTGGGGTTTGAGTTGAGCGTGATTGTTTCGGCTGGCACATCTGGGAAAAATTTTCTTTTTTTCCGTTGGATGTCACTGGTGGAACTTGTCAGCTTGACGAAGGGTATGCTCCATGAGTCCATGTACACGAGGTCTCCACCTTTGGGATAATAATTCAGTGTGCTAGTTGGTCGTTGTAAGGAAGGCTCTGGAAGAGAGAATTGAAGGAGGAATAGAGGAAGAAGGGTTTTATACTATGTGATCACCCGGTTACAGATGAACATGGTGCTATGTGAGACCCGAAACCTCACCATGAGACTACAGAGCTAGATATAGCAGAGAAGCAGGCAAGGGGTTTGAGGTTACGGGACCACTTGAGTCCTACTGGAGCTCCACGATGCAAGAATAGAGAGCTGACTCAGCACTCTGAATCTCATCAATACAGTCTTCTAAAATTTATATTCTTTATATATTTTTATCTTTGTTTCTCACATCATTTCATAATCTTGAAAATACTCGGTTTTTATGATTCTGTTCATTTAACTCACTAATATGAGAAAATAATCCGTTAATTTGAATAAATGAACTCTATTTCATAAATTACACCACAGCAGAACTGTTAACTGCAGTATATAATAATAATAATAATAATTATAATAACTATTATTATTTCTTATACCTACATACAAGCAGGTTTATAATGAGTTCTTATATAATGTTAAATACAGATCAAGAGTTGGTTATAGAAGATATATCATAATAAAAAATATATGATAAATATGTGAGTATTCCCTCAAACCGCCATTGCTCCCATTACTCCTATCCTCAAACATCCACCATCCCCTTTATACGGCTCCTTTCATCTCCTCTAGGTCCGGCAGACCGAACCATTAAAGCCTCCTCCCTACCATTGCTGCTAATATTAAGTACATATTTTCCCCCAGTCGCCCTAGGTACAACGTTTCCATCCCTAAACACACCTTCCACCTCCTCTAGTGTCTTCCCTATAGTCTCTGGGAACCACAACCAAACCATTACCGCACCTACCCAATTGAACGCCATAAAGCAATAAAAGAATCGATATTCCAACCTTCAGAGTCCAATCGGCGCACACTGCGCAAATAAGAGATTTAATGACCAGTTGACAAATGTACTGACTGAATTTCCGAGGGCCCGGATCCGTGTGCTGAAGATCTCTGCAGGATATATCCACGACAACACGCCAAGTGGTGTGAAGAAGAACGAAAAGACAAAGTACATAGTGACAGCGCTGCGGAGTGCGTGCGAATTTGTCAAACTACTATCTGGGTCGAAATAGCGCGATATCGTTGCTTCCACGCATACAATTGATGCCCGTTTTTTTGTCTTAATTCTTGGTATTTTGGGATAAGGCTGAAGAAGGCTGGGTGGCAGAGTCTTTGCCGACAAAGCTGCTGGCTATTCTGTGGTTAGGAAATTGAGAGGTTGACATTATAATGAGGGAAAAGAAACCGGAAAAGGAATATTGGGCGTTCAAAATTCGAGTTTTCCGGTTCTATTAAGGTGAATTTGGGAATGTGCTTGCAGCGATTATGTGGTGATAGCAGAGATTGAGTTAAATAGTTAACGTTACTTTTTACTGCAACTCTATTCAAAATTAGTTTACACCAAACGGATCTTCAGGGAACTGTTTTTGAAGAGCAGTACAAAGAGCGAAGACAGACATTTACTACAGAGTTACAAGTGGCTGAGAGCTAGTTAACTAAATAAATACCTGCTTCTAATAGAGCCTCGTTGACATGATGAAATGCGCACGGCGGAAATATCTTCCGCCAACAGAATAAACAAAGCGGGTTGCTTTCCCAACCAGGGCCGCCAGCTCATCGTTCCTTTTAGGTTCAAGATGTCCAACCTGGAGATAGACCGGCTACGCAGAATTGTCGAAGAACAGCAACGGCGCCTTGAAGAAGCTGAACAACGAAGCGAGGAGGAACGACGTCGCCGCCAAGAAGCAGAAGAGAGAACTAGCAAAACAACGCTTCCTGCTTTGCTTGATGGCCTCCATGCGCACCTCTCTCTCGGTCTTGAAGTTCAGCGGGACTCAACGCAGTCGACTCGCGGTGATCCATCCAATGCGACAAACAAACTGCGCCCGGACAAAATACGCGTATGGGAGCAATTTGCGACTGATCAGGAAGCAATATGGCAACTTCTGATGGACTCCGATCTTATCAACGAGCGACACTTTACCTCCCTACACACCTTGCAAGAAGAAGGGGAAGCGGTGCGCCGGCGCCTGATTAGCTCTGAGCTCGATCTGAATCACTTTCTCCGTCTTACAGTCGAAGATCACGTATCCCGGATCATTGAGATAATATATCAAAATTCTGAACTTCGTGAGGCCTTCGGGTTGAAGGGGTCGATTCGGTTTGAAAATCATGCCAATACACTTAGTCCCGAGCGGCAGATTGAAAATGCGATGGACAGCATGGATATACGGGGGCGCGCACCACCCCGACGCCGCTCACCCCGTTTATTGGCTAGAGAACAACATGACGGGTTAGTTGAATCTAATACTCCCGTAAAGACATCTACAATCAGAGGCGGACGGCCCCGGGCGGATGAATTTTGCGTGTACAACATAACCCGTGGGGCGTCGGAGACGGACTACCGCGTCCCAGCATATATCAAAGAGTTTAAGGCTCCACATAAATTAAAGTTGGGGTTCATCAATGAAGGACTGCAGGATATGGATCTAGAGCTGGTTGTCCAGTATAACGAGGCGGAGAGCGCCCAGGATCGGTTCAAACGTCTCATTGCCGCCGTCATCACGCAGGCGTTCGACTATGCGGTTGATGCCCGTGTAAAATATGCCATGATTAGTACTGGAGAAGCGGACATTTATTTGAAAATCGACGACGACCCATCCACTGTTTATTACTATCTTTCTGTCCCAAAGGCCGACGTTGGGGAGACGACCGCATGGGATCCCAACACCGATAGCCCAAACCGACTGCATCTTACTGCTGTTGGACAATTGCTAGCCTTTACCCTCCAGGCGATCAAGACACCGTTATGGAGTCATGAATGGAGGCAAAGGGCTCATGACACATTGGCAAAGTGGGAAGTGATGTACATGGATATGCTAGACAAAGTCCAAGATGATGATGAGCCTCCAGGGTCCGAATATCGTCCTCGACCCAATGCGAACGACTTTATCCGGATATCCCCAATCCGCATTCGTCGAAGGAGGCTGCCAATCAATTATGGGGGCTGCCAGCCGCCGCCAGAACAGCCGCAACCTGATGATGATGATGAGTTTGACTCAGACACGCCGAGCCGAACTCGTCAAGCGACTGACCTCTTGTCTCGTTCACATCCAGCTTCATTGAAGGCGATGTCAACTCCATCACCTTCAGGTCCTGACAATCAGCAGCGGCAGAACAATCGGCGTTACTGCACTGTGAAATGCCTTCGCGGGCTGATTGATAGCGGCCCTCTGGACCCAGCATGCCCAAACGTGCGTGACCACGGCAAGCACTCCCATTCCATCGATCAATCACAGCTCTTAAGCTTGTTAAGCCAGCAGCTCTCGGAAAGTCTGGCTGTGGATTGCGAAACCCTTGGCATCCATGGCTCTCGTGGAGTTCTGTTGAAAGTCACGCTCTCGTCATTTGGATACACTATGCCAGCGAAATGCACCATACCTGAATTTGTGCATCTTCTCAAACATGAAGCAACTGTCTACCAGCAGCTTCTTCCCGTGCAGGGTATCCATGTTCCACTGTATTTGGGCAGCCTCGATCTCGACCCCCCATGCAATTACGATGGGATTGCCGATCTCGTCCACATGATGCTATTAGGCCCGGGCGGTCAACCCATTGCTCGAGTACTCAACACGGCCAACAGACAGGATCTTATTGAGAAGACAAAGCAGTCCCTTGTTGCCATACACCGTCTAGGTGTAGAACACCGTGACGCCGAGCCACGTAACCTACTGTGGAACCCTGAAATCAAAACGGTTGTCCTCATCGACTTTGAAAGGGCACAAATTCACGAGCCACGACCAGTTTTAGGAGTTCTGGCACCGAATCCTAAGCGAAAGCGCACGCCCAGCCTCGGTTTGTGTAAGCCACTCCCAGAGCGGCGATTCGCGACAGATATTAACCTAGCCGTGAATGAGTTACGAGATTTGAACAAGTGGGATGGGCGTAAGGTGCTAGGCGAAATATGATAACAAGCAGATGCAGCTGGTCAGAATGGAGTGACAAGAATCGTTATTGATTCTACTCAAATAATAGAATGAATTTACTAAAGCCATACAGCTGGCATCATCACTCAGCAGATTAATGTCTCTTTGACCCTTTGCGCTTCAGCCCCGTTGGAGGGGTCCTCAGCACTCTAGCGAGCCTTCCCAACTGCCGGCCTTCACTCTGTGATGAGCGCAAGAACAGCGTAGCTCTCCATGAAAGTGTGGCTTTTCCAAATATCATAGTGAGCCCTACGGTTTCAAGTGAGATTTTATGGTGTGCATAGGTACGGAGATTCTATGCATAGAAATGATTGGATCCCAAAGGGCACGGGCTCCAGTCAGGGTTAATCTTGTCGGGGAGACGGGTAGCAATGTATTCGCGTGGGTGAGGTCAATGGTGATAACAAGGATAGGCTATATATATATGTGGTTTGAAGGATCTAATAATGTTGAGATTAACCGTATACACTTAAGGAAACAAAGTTTCTCGTCCACTACCCGTCCGTCCTGACCTGTCAGGCCTAATAGAACCGAAGAGAGGAAGGAAAACAAACAGAGCGCGTGTTTACGAAGCTATAAGAGCAACGCGCCTAGCCCTTGCCCTAGCTCTCAGTGCCACATCATCCTCTGTCCACCGTGTCGGCGCCCACAGAAGATATTCAATTGACATTAGGTTGAAGGGGACTTGCTGAGTGTGGGAGGTGTCTCCTTCAAGGGCCCCAGCCACGGGGACATGGTCGGCGAGCGTATTGGGAAGTGATGGATAGGGGCGATTCAATGCCCTTCTCCTTGTCACCGCCCTCGCTAACCGTTCCGGTAGTTAAGTCTCTCTGTGATCGTTAGGAAAGGACTCTCTGGAACCCATGGTGCTGGAAAAGCTCACCTTCGCTTGTCACGGCAGCAGGTTCGTCTCCCTCTCCGCTTCCTGCAGCGGCGTAGTCTCAACATCTTTATATAAACTTCTATAGTAACTCACTTCAATCTGATAAAAATATATTCAATTGAAACTTGATATATTTATTTATACAGTCACTGCTATTATCTCTCAACTATAGAATAATAAATATTAATATTTAATTACTTTCTGATTATAGATGTTAATAGACACAGAAACACTCTATAATATTTATAATAAAAAACTTTTAATTATAATCACAGTTTTTAAGTACTGAAAACTGTGGCGTTCACCACTTCTCAGGGCTTCCACTTCATCTCTATTCCTCTATTCAGAAGCTCCACCTCTATTTCACTATTCCCCGGAGCTTTTACTCCTTTCTTCTTCTACTCCCTACAATTGCTCATTCTACAGGAGTTAATCATGATAAACAAAACAAGCATGTATTATTATTATTGTTATTATTAGTCCACTCGCCTAACGGACCACCGACTATATACGTAAGATCTCCCTGTTTGGGTCGCGAAATGGATGACCACAAGAGCCCACATCCTAGTCCCTAGTCACCCTCGATAGATCAATACCCCTGCTCGCCTGTCAGTGATGATGGCTTCACTTCTAAATCAAACAGTCTCCAATTAACCCTTTCTGCCGAAAGCCTGTATGCCACTGTTCTTTCTACACTCTCCCTTGCCCTTGCTTCCATCATTCGTTTTATTCTTCCTACTCTCTCTCCTTATTGTCGCCTTGTTGTCGTTGTTGAAGACTTTCCCCCTTTTCACAGTACCCGCCGCCGGCCTCGCCCCATTCATCATCGCCGGCACGTGGAAAGGCGACTACAATGACACAGCGCAGACTCACCCTACCACCTCCAGAGCTGATGATATGACCAGCCCAGCAGCAATAATGATGATGATAGAGTTGATGTGTCATTCCGCATGGAATCAAGCGACGGGCCTGACAGCATGTCTGAGACCGACCTGACTGACCCAGGCCTAGGGCCACCTGGTACTGGACTTGGGTACAGCCGTAAAGTTTGAAAGTTATGCATTAATATTACTGCTAACACACATTACAGAGAACTCAGTCAATATGAACCTTCCCCTGACTACTATAAGGATCCCCAGATAACACGGATGAGGATCTGTCAGATGTTGCCTTAGATTATTGGGAATCCAAGAAGGCCCAGAGACCGAAGGACTGGGTGAAGGGTCACTGGCAGCAGTGCATCCAGCGAAGCATGTCACTATATTGTGATGCTGTGTCCAGCACTAACATCAGGAAGATACTGCACGATGAAGTTCAGCACCAATCCCAAATGGTGTGATCCTGAGAACACCATCAGACCAGTGTCTTGGAGGGATGTGCACGCTTCTTCCATTGATTCTAGGAAACTGAAGCATAACAGACGGCCGCAAGCTCAGATGCATCAAGACAACTGGTGCATTGGAGGCGGACTGGAAGTACTTTCAAATATAATACAAGAAGGCGACAAACAATCCCATCAGCAAAGAAATGAGTAAAGACATTTGCCGAGTATGTTGATATAATCTGATCCCACTCCGCATGTGGTACACTCTAGATTAATATCTCTGACGTACAGGGCTTGTGATATCTGGCCGACAAGTACAGTCTTACAGATCAGGTGCACAAGAACACGCCAGTCTACATTGAGGATATGGTTCGCTTCAAGGAGACTATACTCTGGACACGAACCGTACTGCATTCTGTGGGGCTTTCGACAATCTCGATCACGTTGTACACACCATACACGGGGACATCACCAAGACCAGTATTAGGCATGAACGGCAGAGGATTCGAAGCAGATGCGAGTCCTGGAAACATGGAAGCACCTCAATTTGACCCTGCGGGGTAATGAAGGTGCAGGAAGACGTTGAATCCAGAATCGGCCGGAGGGTACGGACGGCTGTAGAGGTGTTGGAGGGGAGTGTGAGGTGGTCATTTTTGTGATCTCTAATCTTAAGGCAGAAAAATTCCGAATGAACAAGTCCAAGTCAAGAGCTATGACATGATAGCAACATTACTGCTGGGGACGGAGTGACACCACAATTGGTGACCGTGTTAAGAGGATTTTGCAAAAGCACATGTCAATTGCATATGGTTATCCTTTTAAAAGTTGCTTAATAATATATTTGATAGCCCGACCTATGGGACTAAGGAGTGATTGGTGTTGATTTCCATGAAGGTGTGAGGAGGGAAAAATAAAAATATAAAATAAGCCATTCATACTAGTGCAGTCTCGGAGAGCATACATCATGAGAAACAGTTAATTCAGCACTGTGTCGCTCAGCGGATAAATATTTTCCTTGGTACTCAGGGGTCTTTAAGGGGGATGGGCTGGTTGAAACAGATGGAAGAGAGGAATTGGGTTCATCGTCATCACTAGTGGAGTGAGACAACGGTGGAGGAACCCACGAAAGAATGTCTGAGAAGGATTTGTGGGCGATACCAGCATCCAAGTGATCGTCGTCACCGTCGTCTTGATCATTGTAGATTTCGGCAGCACCAGACATTGAAACAATTCGCTGAAGGTGCCACTGCATCTCAAGCAATTCGAAACTCGGGAGAGGATGGGTGTTCGGGTCGGTAGTTCGAAAGATAAAGGTATCACCAGATTTGATGATCTCCGCCGTAGTGTCGTTAGAGGCAATTGCGAGTACGTTCCCCCCCACTTGAACAAAATTTCTGGATGATTCGGGAGATTTTAGGATGCTCACAGAATCAAAACAGCCATGGGATGGTCTGGGCTGCCAGTAAAACTGAACGGCAAGCTCCTTGTGATCATCGGATATGGAAATCGGCCGGAGCGCGAACATGCCTCTTGTCCACAAGCTATGTGCTGTAGGGCTGAGACAAATCATGTTATGGCAGCCATCTGAAGCCTTGGAAGGGTTGGAGGGGTCCTTGAATATTTCTGCGCGCCATCGATTTAGCCGATCTGATTCAAAGAAGAAATCGAGTAGCTTCCAAAAGGAGGGGATGGAAGCATCAAGGTTGGTTGGCGGTCTTCTGTTGATCATGCAGGGTGGGAAGATATGCGCCACTTCATGGACGCTTCCTTTTGTGAGAACACATGAGTATCCATCGCGTTCTTTTGCAAGTATTTTTGGCTTTTCGAGTCGATCGCTTTGACGAGAGCGCGTATTGGACGCAGCAGAGGAAAGGGTTGAGTGTGTTGATGATAGGCCATCGCGGGGAGGTCGTTGCATCCAACGTAAAGGAATGGACAGACAGTTATCACTGAGGAGAGAGAAAAAGGCAGGCGAGTTTCGTGCGGTCGCCACAAGTTCGCGTAGCTTCAATATATCGCATACTTGCATACAGCCCCACAGTGACGCCTTCACAGTATCCTGTTGAATCGCATCCCTAAGTTCAGACAAGACATTCGCCCGCTCCTGTGACTGAATGTTGAAGACTTCGTCTGGTGAATGAACAACAGTGGCACAGCTGGGCCTAAGGGTGCAGGGATCCTCCATTCCGATGTCAGACAAAATGAAGATACTTGAGGAGAACCAGATGTTAGCACGGGCAAATTTTGGAAATGAAAGAGAGAGCATTGGCAGCTATCTCTCACCAAAGGGAAGACTACTGACCTCAGCAACCCACTGATAACCGATGGATCCGGAAATTGTGCTGAATCAGGCTATCAGAAGAGGCTGACAATTGATGAGCGCGCTGACTTGGGTTTGTGAAATGTTTCTGCTATGTTTCTGCTGCCTCGCAGGTAAGCTGTAGATTTTACATGGAACCTGGTAATTATATAGAACGCTAGACTAGGGTGGGCCGGCGCTAAACCCGTCGGGGCGAGGACTACACAGCTAGCTACGTTATATATACATATGTTAGAGGATAACGTTGTCATCTATAATCTATCTAGGGTGAAACTATATATAAGTTGGGTGGCACGTGATTAGGGTAGATGTAGTAATCACCAACACCCCCCCCTTGCTACAACGCCTAGACTGACCGTGTGACCGTGTCTGGGACCAGGACCAGATTTTTTAATAGTCTCATTACCAATTCGACTGATCCCATTACACAGTTTTAACATTAGATAGTAGTCTCATACTGTCTCAGTGAGACTTACTGTCTACTCTTATCACATTTTTCAAATGAGATCATGATTTTCACTTCTCAATTTAAATTATTTTTATTGCTTTAAATGACTTTAAATCTCATTTGAGTATTACTAAAAAGTGTTACTTTTTAAAAAATTAAAAATAGTCTAAAAAAAACCTTAAAATGTCTAAAAATAGTAACTTTATATTAAGAATGAGATTAAATGAGATTAAATAAGATCACTTTCTTATTTTTTTCAAGTCATGATTTCATTTTAAGATCTGATATATAGTCACTTTATCTGTTTTTTTAATAGTCAGTCCCAGCGGGATTCACATCAAGAAATGTATGAGATTAGATTAAATGAGATTAAATATGAAATTCATAATCTCAGCAGCTAGTCTAATTATTGATAGTGACTTCTGAGTGTAGAAGAAGATTATATCAATCATTCTATAAATAATTACAGAACTTATAAAGATAGTTCTTTACAGTCTGAATTATTTATTCTAATGCATCATCAATCTCAGAGTGATAGATAGTTAATAAACAGTGTATAATCTTGAGAACTTGATAGATTCTTATTCAGAGAGTACTTATAAATTAACAGTCTTAATCTGATACTATAGATCTTGACAATTCATACATTTAATAGAATAAACTCTGTAGAAAGACTTTAATAACTTCTTTAATATCTATTTTATTATAGAATTTTAATATCATATCTTTACTTAATTAATCAATGATGATTAGAATGTTCTTATAACTAGACTAACTATGTGACTGTGTCTGAGATCAGAATTAGATTTTTTGATAGACTTATTATCAATTCAACTGATTTCATTACACAGTTTTAACATTAGATAGTAGTTTCATACTGTCTCAGTAAGACTTACTGTCTACTCTTATCACATTTTTCAAATGAGATTATGATTTTCACTTCTTAATTTAAATTATTTTTATTGCTTTAAATGACTTTAAATCTTATTTAAGTGTTATCAAAAAGTGTTACTTTTTAAAAAATTAAAAATAGTCTAAAAAAAACCTTAAAATGTCTAAAAATAGTAACTTTATGCTAAGAATGAGACTAAATAAGATCAAATAAAATCACTTTCTCATTTTTTTCAAGTCATGATTTCATTTTAAGATCTGATATATAGTCACTTTGCATGTTTTTTTAATAGCTAGTTTCAGTGAGATTCATATCAAGAAATGTATGAAATCAGATCAAATGAAATTAAATGTGAAATTCATGATCTCAGTGACCAGTTTACTTATAACTCTTACTCTCAGAGAGATTAATAATAAAGTCAATTATTACATCTTATCAGATTCTTTCAGAAATATTAAGCAGTTTTAATAGATCTTTTCTACAGTTCTTTTATAAGATAATAGAGAAATAATAGTTACAGTTTCAGACAAAGTGTCTGATACTGTTTAATATTTCAGATCAGTAGAATTCTTAAGAGTAGACTGACTGTGTAACCGTGTCTGAGATCAGAATCAGATTTTTTAATAATCTTATTATCAATTTAACTGATTTCATTACATGGTTTTAATATTAGATAGTAGTCTTATACAGTCTCAGTGAGACTTACTATCTACTCTTATTACATTTTTCAAATGAGACTATGATTTTCACTTCTCAATTTAAATTATTTTTATTGCTTTAAATGACTTTAAATCTCATTTGAGTGTTATCAAAAAGTATTACTTTTTAAAAAATTAAAAATAGTTTAAAAAAACCTTAAAATGTCTAAAAATAGTAACTTTATGCTAAGAATGAGACTAAATGAGATTAAATGAGATCACTTTCTCATTTTTTTCAAGTTATGATTTCATTTTAAGATTTGATATATAGTTACTTTACATGTTTTTTTAATAGCTAGTCTCAGCAGAATTCACGCCAAGAAATGTATAAGATCAGATTAAATGAGATTAAACATGAAATTCATAATCTTGATAATCAGTCTACTTAAGAGATTATTTAATACTAGACTGATCATGTGACCGTGTCTGAGATCAGAATTAAACTTTACAGTTATCATATTATCTAAAAGCATTACTTCTAATTATAATTTGTGTTCATTATATTGATTTCAAATCACATTATTTCAAATATTAAAGATCTCAGATTCACTTTTCAAATAAAAATCTAGTCTCAGATAAAGAATATATTTGAATTCTTAGTCACATTTTCATTCTGATCTCATTATTGAGAATGATATTAAATAAGATTATGAAATCATTTCACACTTACATAATATTATAACATAGTACTCATTTGTTGAAAATTCAATAGAGAGTGTTATTAAATATCATTACTTTTCTCAACACAGATTATAATTTATATAATTTTAATTATAAAAAAAATATAAAATATAAAAAAAACAAAAAATAAAAAATAAAACAAAAACAAGAAAAAATCACAATAAAAAAAGAAAAAAAAAGAGAAAGAAAAAAAAAAGAAAAGAAAATAAAAAAAATCAAGATTACAGAGCTGTAGTACTTTTAAAATACTTACTTCTCAGAGTCTTTACAATTTTTATTATTAACTGTGTATCTCTCACAGTGAGAGTAACACAGCTGTAATAAGTTATTATTTTAATATTATCTAATAAATAATCAGTATATATCTGTATAAATGTGAATAATTAGAAAACATATACTTAAAAAGTATGATCAGAGTAAACTCTGCTGCTACTTGAATAATGTTAAAAATAGAATACTGAAATCAATGATTTCTCTCATCAATTTCACAGATAAGATATATAAAGATGATTTTGAAAAATATAAGATCTTCTGACTTCTGATAAAAACAGATCTCATGAAGAGACTTTATTTTCATAATATCAGAGACTGAGTATTATTAAAAAGTATTACTTTTATATAATACACATGTACTTACTGCAGTGATTCACTCTCTATATATATAGCTGAGAGTTATAACTTTCTCACACTGTATGACTCTCTCTGAGATGCTGTTATCAGTTTGTAATTTATACAGTCTCTCAGTTCAGTATACACTGTGTATATACAGCTCTATATACTGAGACTGTGTTGATCATTATAATCTGACATAGTACTCACTTTTCATGAGCTATGTTTCATTTGAAGAGAAGGAGAAAGATGTGACTGTTATTATATTAAGAAGAAGATGAATAATTAGTATTATTGAATATAATTTAATTCATCTGTATTTAAAATTTGATTAGTCTATACTCTTCAATTTGAGAATTTCTAAGAGTGTTTTAATAGTTTTCATATCAGCTTGAACTTAGTGATGAGTTGAAGAAGAAGAGAAAAGAGAGAAGAAAGAAATGAGAATAACTTATTTTTATAATATAAAAATAGAGAATTACTGCAATTATTCTTTCTAGTAATAAAGATCTGTTTTCTGCATGTATCTCTAATATAGATTATATGATAAATGCATATAAAGAATATTAATAGTGTATATATTGAATGAAGATAATATTACTATATAACACTGTAGCTGTTTCTATACATCTCTGAAAGCTATTAATAGTTTCTTTGTCTCTTTATATTTAATAAGTTAATAATATATTTCAATACACTCTCTCTTTTATCATCATCATCATCATTATCATTATTATTATTATTATTACTATTATTATTATCATTATTATTATCATTATTATTATATTATTGCCTGTCTTCATTTCTCTCTCAACACTTATTAAAATTAATTATATTATCTCTTTTTAAATATTCTGCGGTTCTGCAGATCATCAAGACGTGTGAGTACTATTACAAATTGAAGAAAGAGAAGAAGAAGATATTCAAGCATGAGAAGACAGATTACAAGATATGTTATAATGTCTTGAAAAGACTCTGTAAAAGAGTAGAATAACAACAATTTTAAGTAACACTTCTGATAGATTTAGACTGAACTAAGTATAGAAATAATACAGATAACACTATCTGTGAGAGATTAAAAAAGAAGACAGTAAAAAGTCTTATACAGTAGTAATAAGATCAGAAGAAGTTCTGAGAATGATTTAAGATTAAGATAAAGAGAGAGAGAAAGAAGAAGAGTATTACTGTAAATAAGTAGTGATAGAAGAAGATTGAGAAGATATTGAAGCAGAAGATAAAGAAGTCAAAACTAATAAGTTTTTTATTAAGAGATAATAATTTTTGATAACACTTCTATTCTCTAATTAATTAGTAGAAGCTGGTAGAGAAGAAGAGAATTAAGACCTTATTTAAATCTCAAATACACTTCATAATTCAGAATATTGAGAAGACAGCTCTACTCTCTGAGTATATCAATCTGCTTATCACTGAAGTGAAACCTGAGACAGCAGATCAGAAAATGCAGAATTTTAAGACACAGATTAATCTGACTAAGAGAAAGCAGTGAGAACTCTTCTCTGAGAAGACAGCAGAGAGAGATTTTAAGATGATTATTATCTCAGATAAGAAGAAGAAGAAGAAGAATGAGAATAAGAAGTGAATTATAAAGAATAATGAGAAGAATGAAAAAGAGAAGAAAGATAATAAGTAGAAAAAGATTTTTCTTTTTATATTAGTTAGTTATAAGTTTATAACTATTAATTAATAATTGAAATTAATTTTAAATTTTCAAAAATTATTGTACAAGTTGTAATCAATTATCAATATCAGAAATAATATATATATATATATTCAACTATCATATCATGTCACTATAATGTATAAGTATTAACATTTTTTCAACATTAATATTTATAATATTAATATATTTTTAATA